GGCTGGCCTCTCTTTGCCATGTGTGTACGTGACAGGGATTGGTGGTGGTAAACGCCGCCAAATGCTGCATTCACTATATGGCTCCTGTTTTTTCTTGAAGGCACAAAAAATTAGCATCTTTATTTTAACTCCAATAGAAAGTAGCCAAAAAACCCAAAGACTGACTGCATGAAATTCATGTAGGTTAGGAAAAAGGCACTCAGGATTCTGCAGGAGGGGAAAAAAGTTTTCCCCACCTTGTTAGCTTGCCACAGGGAAAACATCCCCTGTTAATTTTAATAGATTTGGTTTTGTCTGGGTGTAGGGTGCTGCAAGTGTAGTTCAGTGGATTTATAATCCCAGAAGGCCAGTGTTAGCTACTTATGTACTTATAGAAGCCCTTCTTGTTGCCTTGTGTAATATCTAAATGACTTTAATATTTTCCATTTTTCATTTAGTGTATAAAACAACAGTAATGTTAATCTTATGATTTATAGGTATTCTTTTTTTTTCTGTTTTTCTGTTTTCCCCATAATTAAATCTGGATCATAGTGAACTATCAACTTTGTTAATAAAATTTCTTGATCAGGAGACCAGCAATTCTCTGAGAGCAAGTATTTACACTCTACCATATTGTGCTCTGATAGTTTTCCAAAGGGCATGCCATGTAAGAGCTATGCTTGGTGCAGGATAAACATATGTGGTTTAGCATTTTTTTGGAAAGTTGATTGCCTTCAAGAAGGACTTACCAACGGCAATTGATAAGCAGGGTGTTCACTCTATTTCTACTAAATAAACTTACTAAATTTGCAATACCAAAATGAAAGTTTAGATATTCTTTATTCTTTGCCTTTGCAACTTTCAGATGCACTCTTCCTACAAAACTGAAAAAGGAGAAATTACTTACAGAGAACGCAAAGCCTCAACTTTCATATTTTTGTGGTAAGACAATTCATAAGTTTTGCTTGCCCCTTGCTGTACTGAAAGTGTCTTCTATGTAATGAGAGGTATTAATTTTGCTGTGGAACTTCTATCAGGTGCTGGAACAAAAAGAACACCCACAGTCTTTGAGTTTACAAACACCAAAAACAATGAATAGGCAGCGTTATTGTCCTATAGAATTAGTTACTGAATCTATTTTTGGTGCATATGTCTAAAAGTAGTGTCCCAGAGATAAGCTACCAAGGTGATCTTAAGTCTAGAAAATCTATCTTGAGGAAAGTGCAGCTTACATGGCATTTAGGCAGATTTTTTTTAAAGCTATTTAGTACTGTTGGATCATTAATAAACAACTGTTTGCACATTTTCAATCCTACATTTTTGCTGACAGATTTGACCTCTGCCAAAAAAATCTGCTTCAGTCAAAACTATCTTTTTAAAATGTGGTTTTGAAATGGCCAAATCATTTCTAATTTTTAATCTGCAACTGAAACGCTTCAGTGCTTAATCACATAGCAGTGATTTTTTTAGGTTGTCTTCCATAGGGTCAGAATTCAGTTCTAGCTTACAAATTATAATGTATTAATCCCACATCTCTGATCTAGACAGTGCTGGAGCTTTAACATGGACAAGCTGAAGAGGTGTGTCTGGCAAGGAGATGGGTAAAGATGCAGATTGACTGAGTTTTTAAATGTAAAAGATCAGTTCTTTAAAATGGGAAAACACTTGTGCTCCCAGACTGACACTGTCACTTTAATCAAATTGCTCCTACTCAGCCCTGGCTAAGTGCCTGCCTATATTCATTTACATTTTGGCCAACTAAACAGCAATAATGGACTATAAAGGATCTAGATGCAGGGTAGAGCCGCTTACAAGAGGAGGCAGGATGTCTCTGCTACATCAGGAGTCAGGACAGAGGGAGCTTCTCCTCCCAGCCAGTCTCCAAGGAGCTGTATGCTTGGGCAATAATAGCTCAGCTGCATTGATCACTGTTGGAGGGAAAGGGTATTTTCCAGCACACAGAGTGTGTCTCTGAACATATGATAATGCTTCAGAAGTAACTTGTTCCTTTTATCATAAGGCTGATAAAATCACGAAGTCCTTCTGCTACATTATGTTAGTCGGGCCTTCCCTAGTAAGACCTTTCATTAGGAAGTCTTTTCATATGCCCCTTGTTAGCATTGCTCCTTAGTATGCCTATATAGCTGTCTCATTACATCTCATTTGTTTCCTGATCGTTATGGGATACATGAAGTAGCCCCATATTCCTGCTGGAGAGCCCTTTTTCATATGAGTGGTTCCATGGACTGGTTCTTACCACTGTGAAGAAGGGATGAAGATATTCACATTCTTTACCATTAACCTTGGAAATTAGTACTCTGTTAAATTAAATCTTTATGAAAGTAATATTTTTCCTTTTTTATCAAGAAGCCTTTCTTCAGAAGCAGGTAGTTTTTTTGAGTTTTGTGTTTCAGTTACTGTTATTCATATTAGATCTCCTGATGTCTGCTTCTATAATACAACAACACTCCGGGAGAAATCAACCTTCCTTCCCTGAGTACAGTTTCAACCATGGTTGCTTTTATTTTAACTTTCATCCATTTTTTTTGTCTCTTCGTCTGAGAAATCACAGTATCACAGTATGCTAGAGATTGGAAGGGACCTCAAAAGATCATCTAGTCCAATCCCCCTGCCAGAGCAGGAACACCTAGATAATGTTACACAGGAATGTGTCCAGGTGGGTTTTGAATGTCTCCAGGGAAGGAGACTCCACAACCTCCCTGGGCAGCCTGTTCCAGTGTTCCGTCACCCTCACTGAGAAGAAGTTTCTTCTCAAGTTTAAGTGGAACCTCTTGTGTTCCAGTTTGTACCCATTACCCCTTGTCCTATCATTGTTTGCCACCGAGTAGAGCCTGGCTCCATCCTCGTGACACTCCCCCTTTATATATTTATAGACACTTATAAGGTCACCCCTCAGTCTCCAAACTATAGAGACCCAGCTCCCTCAGTCTTTCCTCATAAGGGAGATGTTCCACTCCCTTAATCATCTTTGTTGCCCTGCGCTGGACTCTCTCCAGCAGCTCCCTGTCCTTCTTGAACTGAGGGGCCCAGAACTGGTCACAATATTCCAGATGGGGTCTCACCAGGGCAGAGTAGAGGGGAAGGAGGACCTCTCTCGACCTACTAACCACCGCCCTTCTAATACACCCCAGGATGCCATTGGCCTTCTTAGCCACAAGGGCACAGTGTTGGCTCATGGTCATCCTGTCGTCCACTAGGACCCCCAGGTCCCTCTCCCCTACACTGCTCTCTAACAGGTCGTTCCCCAACCCATACTGGAACCTGGGGTTGTTCCTGCCCAGATGCAGGACTCTACACTTTCCCTTGTTATATTTCATCAAGTTATTCCCTGCCCAACTCTCCAGCCTGTCCAGGTCTCGCTGGATGGCAGCACAGCCTTCTGGCGTGTCAGCCACTCCTCCCAGCTTAGTGTCATCAGCAAACTTGCTGATAGTACACTCAATTCCCTCATCTAAATCGTTGATGAATATATTAAATAATACCGGTCCCAGTACTGACCCTTGAGGCACTCCACTAGTTACAGGCCTCCAACTAGACTCAGCCCCATAGACTACAACTCTCTGGCTTCTCTCCTTCAGCCAGTTCGCAGTCCACCTCACTACCTGATCATCCAGTCCACACGTCCTCAATTTAGCTGTGAGGATGCTGTGGGAGACTGTGTCAAATGCTTTGCTGAAGTCAAGGTAGACCACATCCACCGCTCTGCCATCATCCATCCACCGTGTTATTTCCTCATAAAAGGCTAAGAGATTGGTCAAGCATGATTTCCCCCTGGTGAAGCCATGTTGACTGCCCCTCATAACCCTCTTATCCTTGATATGCCTTAAGATGGTACCAAGGATAAGGTGTTCCATCACTTTCCCAGGGATGGAGGTGAGGCTGACCGGTCTATAGTTACCCGGGTCCTCCTTCTTGCCCTTTTTGAAGACTGGAGTGACATTTGCTTTCCTCCAGTCCTCAGGCACCTCTCCCGTTTCCCAAGACTTGGTAAAGATGATGGAGAGTGAGTGGTCTAGCAATGACTTCCGCCAGTTCCCTCAGCACCCGCGGGTGCATCCCATCTGGACCCATGGATTTATGGATGTCCAGATTGCTCAACTGATCTCTAACACATTCCTCATCGACTAAGGCAAACCGCTCCGTCGACCTGACTTCATCTAAGGTCTCAAGGGTACAGGGCTCTTCAGGACTGCCTGCAGCAGAGTAGACAGAGACAAAGAAGGCATTCAGTAACTCTGCCATCTCTGTATCTTCCGTCACCAGGGCACCCATCCCGTTCATCAGTGGGCCTACATTGCCTCTGGTGTTAGTTTTATCTGCCATGTATTTGAAAAAGCTCTTTTTGCTGTCCTTGACCCTTCTCGCCAGGTTTAATTCTAAGGATGCCTTAGTCCTCCTAGCTGCCTTCCTACATCCTCTAGCAGCAGCCTTATATTCCTCCCAAGTGGCCAGCCCCTCCTTCCATGACCTGTAAACTCTCCTCTTCCACTTGAGCATACCCAGCAATTCCCTATTTAGCCACGCAGGTCTCTTGGCCCTCTTCCTTGACTTCCTACAACTTCTGTTTATTAGCGAGAAGTATCAACAGTAAGACATAAGGAACTCTTCCTAGCAGAGTGGAACAGGACTAGAACAGCACATGCAAGTTTATTAGTCATCTCACTAGAAACCAATAGCAACCTCAGTATGGTCCAAAAATAATGTATGGCTTCATGCTACTATATACTATGTATATGCAACCTTAAACCTTTGTAGTTGCAGTAGTAACAGATTTGTTTGGTTTTGTTATAAATAAATCAAGCAACTGATTTTGACTGGGCTATACAGAAGTGTAATGTTGATTATAAAACAAATATATATATAAAAGAAGATAATTTATTTATTGCTATTCCACTTTTATGTTGTCTAGTTGTGGCTAGGAAAAAATAGAGGCTTTGTTTTAAAACTGGAAGTAATACATTTGAAAAATATTCTCTTTCATGTTTCTATTCACCTTGTAGTGTATGCAGAAGAACTGTGAGTGTGAAAAGGGAGCAAAAGGAGACAAAGGTGATCCTGTAAGTATGCATTCATTTGAAAAGCTTCCAGAGTTTGAATTTTAATCATTGACATCAATGTTGCATAGTATTTAAATCGGTTACTATGTCTGTAAAAAGTAAGACATTGCTGTGCATGTATTGCAAAAAGAAGCTATTTATCATAGTGATTCACTGTGAAAGGCCACTGTTACAAGAGCTCAGAAAAAAAAGATCTATCCATGATCATATGCTATCTTTGAAATATATTATTGGGTAATAGAACACTATGTGTAAGTAAGTACATTATTTTGAAGCCCAAATCAAAAAGCTATTCTTGAATCCTTCAATGGGGAAGAAAGGTCCATTAGATACAGGTTTACTTACACCAGCAGTTTCCGTTTGTGTAAAAGCAGCCTTCCAGTATCTGAAGGGGAGCTATAGGGATGCTGGCGAGGGACTCTTCATTAGAGACTGTAGTGATAGCCAGGGGGTAACGGGTTAAAACTTAAACAGGGGAAGTTTAGATTGGATATAAGGAAGAAGTTCTTTACTGTGAGGGTGGTGAGGCACTGGAATGGGTTGCCCAGGGAGGCTGTGAATGCTCCATCCCTGGCAGTGTTCAAGGCCAGGTTGGATGAAGCCTTGGGTGTCATGGTTTAGTGTGAGGTGTCCCTGCCCATGGCAGGGGTGTTGGAACTAGATGATCTTAAGGTCCTTTCCAACCCTAACTATTCTATGATTCTATGATTCTAAGAGAGAAAGATTCAGAAGATTGTGGGTGATGGCATATCTGAGGAAAGTTCTGAAACTCTGCCTCCAGCTCATTTATTTTGTGACACTTCAACACATGACTGGTTTTTGGCTCTGGTAAAGAAGAGAGAAGTGGGAGTTCAGACAGTGTGTGACCTCTCTGATCCTTTTGGTATCTTTACTAGTTCCCCAGAGACAACTTAAGTACATAGAGAAGTTTTTGCCTTTCTCCCTAGACACTAGGCAACTGGTCGACCATATGTGTAGCAGGTTATGACAGTAAGGCCTACCATCCAGCCCCTTGACTCTGGATAATGTGCATCTGGAACTAAAATCCCTGTTTCCATTTAAAATGTAAGATCCAAGGATTTTAAGTTACTTTATCCAAAATGGCTAGATGTAACCTATTATATATGTATTTTTTATATATACACACATACACTGAGCTTCCGATTTCCCACCTTCATGATTCTCCAAACAGGAATAATGGTGTAATAATTTTTTATTTTGGGGCTGCAGAATAGTGACACTAAGCTGTTCTGTGGACAGGTGTTTTTTTTATGCTGAGATAATCAGATAGGTGACTGAAAAGTGAGGAGGAGGAACCACATGTGTTTTCTCTTACACCTTCCTGGCTAGATTTTCAAATGCTCTGTAGAAAATGTAATTATCATTGAATATTAATTTTTAAAAAATCACAGAAGCCTTACAATGCCAGACTTTTTTTTTAGCTGTGAAAGTATTGTCATACACGCCATACCTGGTGTGGGTTTCCACCTAAGCTTATTTCAGAACTATTTTTGCCTGTCCCTAAAGATGCAGTCTTAGAGAAACTGGAGAATTTTATCCTCATAATAGTATTAACATTTTCCTGCTTTGTTTCAGGGCAGAGGGGAAAAAGGTGAGCCAGGACCAAAAGGAAACAAGGTAAAGAAAATTTAGAAAAATCAAAAAAATTTTTGTCTGGTTTTATGCAAACCATAGAAGTGAATATATCAAAGTATGTTAAAATATGATGTAAAAAATTGACTTTTGCTGTGAGATGTTTATAGTGAACTGCTTTAGAAGTGAGAGAGAAAAATTTCAAATTTAACTGATACCAAGTTAACACTGCCTATCATCCTAGTTTTTCACTGACAGCAGAGGTCTCTGAACCTAGCTGAAGGCTCTCTGAAGTTCCACAGAACTTTTTAACAGTACACAAATCTCTGGAGCAGGGGGGTTTGCTCTGATGACTTAGGATTTCAGTCATCTAATAACAGCTGATGAGTTTTCTATGTTAATGTTCAGGAATCATGTGTCCCTGATTGTGGGAGGAAGAACTGTGTGAGTTCATAAACAAAAAGCTACTTTAGCTCCTTAAAAGTTTTTTTTTTTGTTTTAGCGTAATAGTGATAAAGAGAATACATATTTCACTCGTATTCCTTTGCTTCCAACAGGGCGATGCTCAAAAAGGAGAACATGGTGAAACAAATAAAGAGGTATGTGACTACTACAGATCTAGCTTGTATTTGGTCTTTTCAGATTATCTTCCAGACCCTGATTCACAGTTTAGTTCCGCTGAGCTGCAATTTTTTGTTTTTTCACACACCTACTTTATTCAGTTATTCAGAGAACCTGAACTAACTTCTGATTTAGGGAAGCATCTATACTGACAGAAACAGCCTAACCATGTGCTTACATATAGAGATGGGATGCCACTGACAAAAGGAACTTTTGAAGCTACGTGATTTTGTATCACCTTGCGTTAGATTTATCCCGAAGATAGAATTGAAAATGTCATCACTAAAACATGTAGATAGTCCTCCAGTGGCTTCTGAGATCTGATCTTTCTCAGCCTGAATTCTTGTTGATTCACAGTAGAAAGGTTAACATAGATCAATTCAATTTAAAAGTCCCCTTTAAGTGTTAGCATATATCTGCTAAGAGGCTGGCAAACTAAGTGGTGTATTTACAGCTATAAAGGAAAAAGTATACATCTAAATTTGCAGGGAATTATATGTTAAATGATTCTAGAGAAATATTATCTTGTTGTGAATAGCTGAATTTCTGAAACATAATTCTTTACTGGATACTGGTTTGTGGGTTCTTTTCCTAGTTAAGTTAGCAGTATGTTATGCCTTTGCTTTATTTTTTATGATTTTTCCCCCTTTTTTGTTTAATCTTTGAATAGGGAGCTCCTGGCTACAAGGGAGAAAAGGTAAGATTTTTATTGAAAAGAAGTAGTCTGAAAATAGATTGTCACTTGCTGACAGTGTATGTAACAGAATGGAAAGAAGAGCCTATCTCCTGTTTTTGATATGAGATCTCCTAATGCAATCCCTACAAGTAAATTCATCATTTACGTAGATTCTTGTAGAATGGATTGTTGGAATTAAAAATAAATTTAAAAAAAATATCAGAAAACGTAATCTAAATAGAAAAAGAATAATGTCAAATACCAGAAATAAAGCTTCTGGAAGGAAAAAGAAAGTTGAGGATTGAACAAGAGATTCAGTAGAAAAATATGAAATCGTTTACTGCAAACACTACAAATAGACACGGCAATCATTATCTTTCAAAAAACTTACAGCAAGGAAGTTTACTTTTAAGCTAATTATAACCTGTAAGGGCTAATGCTTGATAAAAAAAAAAAAAAATAAAATCTCTAGATAGTCGCTCCAAGAAGCCAAAAAAGAATATAATACAACAACTTTCAAGAGTCTAGAACTGAAATTTATTTCAGCAAGCTGGAATGTCATAGCCAGAACAGAAACAGACTATCCCATTTTGAATTTGCTTGGTTTAGACACTTACCTCTTAACATTGTTAATAAAAGCAGTGCTTCTCTGAATGTTTGTATTCATTAGAAAAGTGCTTTTGTCGATTTTATTGACATTCATTTCATGGGAACATTCATTTCATTGAAACATTTCATGGAAATAGGAAAAGTAGACTCAGATGTTTACTTTTCTTATGTGGAACACATGCTTTTTCATCAGTGGAGCACATTAGTAATTCCCTTTCTTCATTCCATTCATACAATTGCACAATTGTCATTTAGAGAAATCTCAGACGTCAAACATACGAAATCAGAATATAGAGAGGCAGCGCAGAGAGGTGGAAAAATAAGCAAAACTTTTTAGATATTAAACGTGTTATCCTCTTATGATATAGGTTGTAAATTTGGTAGGTATTCTCAGGGAGAAAATGTGTTTCTCTTGAGTAGGGCAGATCATATCTTCTACAGACCATATTTAATGATGCCACTCTCAGGCCCTCAGAATCTGCTAAACCTCTTGTGCTGCTGAACTGCTTGCACAGTCTTTAATTCATATAGTGTAATCAAAACATCTTGTTTAACTGTTAACCTTTTGATTTCTTATAAAGGGTGAAAGAGGAGAATGTGGATCCCCAGGAATAAAAGCGGAAAAAGTAAGTATAATTGTTATTTGAACTGATTCACACTGATGATGATACTGGAAAAACACGTAACATTAATAAACATAGCTTGTAAAGATTATTGTGAATTTGGAACATCTGAAAATTCCCTGGTAATAGAAATACATTCATAGTAGAAATAGGATTTGTGAAAAATGAACCCACATTTCACTATATTCTTTTTTACTTTTTTGCAGAAGAAATGTAGTCACTTAACTAAAACAAAAGCTGTCCTGATCAGTGCCAAGCCCTGCTTACAAAGGACCATGAGCATGTTATAGAGCTCACCAGATTTTTTTCTTTAAATTGTTAATTTCAATTCAAGTGTATGAAGTTATATTACAAGAGGGGCAGGTTCTTACACAACCCGAATAACTTTTGGATCTACCAGCGCATCTGTGCTGATATGCATTCAGACTTCTATCTAGTCCTCCTCTTTTAACCTGATGCGCAGAAGTGATAAAAGTGATTATAGTTTTTTCGCGTTTCGCACTCTGAAGAATAGAAGGATAATGTACTCCTGAGTGAAATAATAATGTATTTTGAGTTCACGTAAGCAGGTTTGTATGAGTACTACAAACCACTTATTTGTAGTTAGTTAAGTACTACCAACTGGATTGCAATTGATCTTTCAGTAAAGCACATTTCTTCAGTTTTAACATCCATGTTATACTTACCTTTATCAAAGACCAACTTGAACAGTTTTTTTATCTTACCTGATTTCAAGTAGGAATTAGGAAATACTAAAAGCAGCAGTATTTGTAGCAGAGGAAGAGGCGTTATACTGTAATAAAAACCTAAATACTGATAATATGTTGTGAGATGCTGGGATTCGAAATGGCAGCGAGTCAGGAAAAGCTGAAATATCAATGTAAAAGGAGAAAGAGTTGCATTTCTCAGAGGAATAAAGATCACAACTTCTTTATCCAGGCAATATGTGAGAAATAGCACAAGGTTATGTGAAACGTCTACTAAGATAAGCAGAAGCTGTCCAGATGTTGGCAAAGAACATAATCAAAGCAGCCAAGAAATCTGGATGTAGAAAACACATGCTAGGGCTGCTGGAAATTTGCTTGTTTCACTTCTGTTGAGGACAGTGATGAAAAAAAAAAAAGCAGTTTGACATCTGCAGAGGATCAGAGATTATAGTGGATTATGGACTTCAGGAACTTAGTGAACAAATGAAAATTGCAGTGACTTCCAGAATTCCCAACTTCACATTTACAAATGCAGAAGATAGAACAAAATGATATTTTTTTTTTTTTTTTTTTAATACTGGACAAAATAATCAGAAACAGCTAATGGACTTAAAAAGTGTCTCTTTGCCTTTTTTTTTTTGATGCATTTTTAATATGGGGTGGGTTTTTTTGGTGAACTATTAGTACAGTTCTAACGTGCTACTGATCAGCATTTTGAGTTAGTAAGACAAAGTTAACTGAAGTTATTCTAGTGTAAGCACTGCAGGATATTTTTAAGAATTGTGTATCTAATATACTTCTAGAAATTGAATTTAAATACCTATAGTTAATAAGAACTGGTTAATTAAACAGCTAGGATGTTAAGTAGCCATCCACAATGTGTTTAGTATATGAAAATTATTCTAACCAAATGTTGAAGATGGAATGTAACAGGGAATTACTGAATACAGAACAAGAATAGTAGTACTCTGGAGAGAATAAACTACCTAGAAAACGCTTAAACAGAGGTATGAGTGGTACACAGTAATTCTCGATACTTTAAAGCAGATAATTAAAATTTCCTATTCATCTGATAATTGAATCTTAATTTTCCTTAGGGTTTGGAAGGTCCTCTTGGCCCTATGGGACCTCAGGGGCCTCAGGTAAGGGAACTAGAAGCTTCCAAATATTCTGTAAATTTCTTCTACATACAACCTGTCAGCTCTGCAGAGAGCAGTGTGATTGGTGCATGAGGCAGCAGTACAGCAGAATCTAGCAAATCTTTGTCTTTTGGAAATAATTTTCAAAGAAAAAACCTTTGTTGCTGCTGCTGCTTAAATCTGCTCAGATTTAGTGGTGTTGTGGCCCACTTGTGCTCTCCAACTACAGAGCTCTTCTCTTACCTGTAGAGCGTAATCATGCCCTGTCATACTCCTACTTGCTAAATTCCTCTTATATGGTAGCATCCATATTTAGTACCTCACCTGCTCTGTCTCTTCAGAGAGTCATTAATTATTTCCTTCTGTGAAGGGACACAATGGTTGTGGTAATGTCCAGGAATTAAAATTAATCTCAGTTTATCATCGCAGATAAATGCAGGGAAGTGATTTCTTGCAAACAGAGCTAAATGAGGTGTGACAGCTTAGTTTATTTACTCGGGCAGAAGGGAGACTATGAAAATATGGCAAAGTTGGGAGCAGGAGGAGAAAGGAAGAAAGCTTTAAATAAAGCAGATGCAGTTCACATGGACTAGTTGAAGATCCTTTCTGCCAGCACTGGTTATTGAATATTAAGAATATAATGTGTTGGCCACTTCCCAGGATATGACACATAAAATCCTTGCCCTTTAGAGCTTACCACTGTAGTATGTTTTAGTGCAATTGTTCAGGCCAAGTCCAAAATATTCCACCTTTACATGCATCCTCAAAGGCAACTCGTCCTATATTTTGACTTTTGTATAGGGTATCAGGGGACTTCCAGGTGAGCCAGGCCCAAAATGCATTCAAAGAAGCAAGGTAAGATATATTAGTATGTGTAGATGTTATTTATATAGGGAGTGGAGATGCAGAAGCTCTGTGTGGAATCTTTATACTTTACTATCTTTCTTCCTTGGTAGTTTTTTGTTAGTGGTGTTTATTGCACAGAGTGTACACCACATGCTTGGTACGCAATGGTGCCATCATGTTATGAAGGCTTGGTATTGTTGGCACATGCAGCCTATTTTCCATCTGGGTCTTCAAGGGCATCTTATAGGGCCACAACAGGGTGCAGCATGGACTTGCCTAGAGCCACAGCACTTAGACAGGAATTTGAATCACCAAAATATGTGTCTCGGCTTCAGCCATCACTTGGGAAGTTTTTTCCAGATTTTTTTCTGCTAAAATGCTTTGTGTTTAAAGATTTTAAGTAATTCTAGATAGTGGTTAAAATCTTCAGATTGAGTATTTAAACTAATTTTAATTGTGTAAAAAATGCAAGACAACTTGTGACATTGGTAGAGGTGTAAGATTTAATGATGATTAATGCTTTAATCCTATTTCAAATAGATCATTTGAAGTTAATGACTGCAGCTTGTCATGCAAAATCAGTTGGATAAAGTGTCTGATTAATTTAGTCAGTCTTCTGGTTTGCAAACCTTTGGGAAATTGCTATATGTGAATACAGATAATTGCTCATGGGACAGCTATTGGCATCACTGTTTGGTACAGAAAGATGTTTCATGTATCCATTTGAAAATGCAGGGTCTAATGACAAAGACTTTTACCACACGATCATTGGTAGTCTGGTTATGCAATGCCATTTATAAGTTATACAAGGCAATTAAATTCACACAAAGTAATTTGTCAAAGATGCAATATTTAGATACTAATGTTTTGTTTCTTAGCCAAAAATTTCAGTTGAAGATTCATAGAAATAAATTTAGAGATGTGAAATGTTTGTTGTAAAAATTTTGGAATACTGGCATCCATCATGATTTTCCTATTCCTGACAAATGCTTTTTCATACTTCTTAATTCTTCATCTTCTCAACAAAATGCTTGATTAGGAAAGCTGCTACAGAGCATTTCAGAAGTCAGGAGAGGAAGAGAATGATGGGTCTGAATGAAGCTATTCATACATGTGGGAGAAAAGTCATGCCTCTCTTTAACTGCAGTACAGCAAATTACAGTAATTTTTTTATCTGTCATTTCACACTGATGGGTCCAAGATAGTACTACCACATTCTTTTATTATACACTGAACCATATTTGTAGGATGTTGTTTGTCCTCCTGTCAGTCTCTTCACACACTTTCATGTCTATAAAGTACATGCAGCTCTCTCTAGGATTGGTCTGCCTGGATATAGTATTTATGGTCTCTTGTTACACTTTAGATGCCCATTTTCAGCATAAGAGTCTCTCATTTTTCAGCCTCCAACTCAGCAGCCTGCTATTTAAAGTCTATAGTCAAGGATTTTCCAGGCTTAGACATCTATCATAATGCGAATATTGCAAGACAAGTTTGATTAGTGTGCTTGGGTAATTATTACACTTGAAGACTTTAGTCAAAGCGTATGTATGTTTAGAGGTTATGTCTTGTCCATACCTAGCACCAGAGCTAATCTTCAGCATTTTGGAGCTTATTTGAGATGAGCGAAAAATGTTTTAATCATCGGTACAGATAATCAGTGGTTGTTTACAGCTTAATAAACACCCATTCGACTAGTAAAGGTCAAGGCCTTTTTTTGGTTCAGACACATCACAGTCTTTCCAATATCTTTCATCTTTACAGAAGGATTATTCAATTACTCTTTTGAAATTAGTTTTCATGACACATAATACAATATATGTGGAAAATGGCAGTTATTTATAACTGCTTTGGATAAAGAAAAAAAAAGTCTATTCTTAGTGCAGTTCCTTATACCTGTGGCCTTTCCATGCTAATACTTTCTGCTTTTTGAGCCGAACTAGTGACTTTACCTCAGTTTAGCAGACCTAAAGGCAGTTGCATGAAATTAGTATTGATATGACATTACACAGAACACCACTGCTGAACACTTTTATTCATTGTTAGTGGGCCGTGTTGAGGTTTGAAAGAGGGGATTCAGTTCCTCTTCAAAATATAAACTCTGGATCAAGCTCAGCCTACAGATGTTTTGGGTCTCATTTGTGAAGTCTACAGTTCTCTCATACAACTCAGTCCTTCCCACACCTCTGTAAGGAAATGCCGAACCCATTCTCTCACTTTACAGGGCCAGGCAGCAGGCACGGCTCAGGACAGTGTCAACTCTGTGCTGTCCGGATGCTGCTGGCTCTGGCAGCCACCAGCAGCATTGCAACTTCAGCTAATTTAATTTGACTTCTCTGAAGCAAGATAGCGTATGGTAAGAACTTTTCATACCTTATTTCTTCTGTCATTCATATGCATTTTCTCATTCCCTCTTAAGCTGCTTGCTAATCCACCCTTTGTGAAGACTTAATGGCTGCACAACACCCAAATTCTATCCCTTTTCATGGCGTTGCCTTATCATATTGACATTAATGAATTGAATCTCTTTCAAAGTCCTACTGCCTGCACTGAGCAGCTTTCCACTGACTATAGCAGGAACTCAGACAGTGTGTTTCTACGTAGACACCTAAGTTTAGGTATAATCATACGGAGCTGAATCACGTCCTTAATCTCTTAAAGTCTTTCTGATGCAATTCACAATCAGTCCTTAAGTTTAATAACCTCTTTAATATACAAGCAAACTTCATCACTTTACTTTCACCCTTTTCGAGTCACACGTGTATGTTGTACAGCCTATATCCTGCAGAGAATGCAGCTCCATATAGCATTAAATAAACCCAGTTTTTGTTAAGCAGACTGAAATAAAGTTTTCTCTATTTGCATTTCTACAAAGTTATAGCATCTCAAAAACATCTAAATAGTTTTATTACCGTATATATACAAATCTTCTCCATAAAGAGGTTGAGGCATTTTAAATGACAAATAAATAAAAATAAAAATACATGTTAATGTTATATCATTAGTTTACCTGACTAAATATATTTCCATTTGTCCTGGGTTCAGCAGTAGGAGTCATGTTTCTCCTTCTTGGTAGCTGGTGCAGTGCTGTGTTTTGACTTTCAGCTCGGGAACAGAGCTGATAGTGATGTTTTGGTTTGGCCAAGGACTTTGTGAGCCTCATGCTCTGCCAGGGGGGAGGGGAAGCCAGGAGGAAGCAGAGACAGGACACCTGACCCAAACTGACCAAAGAGGTATTCCATACCACAGCATGTCATGCCCAGGATGTAACTGGGAGTGAGCCGGAAGGGCTGGGGAAACTGCAGGGTTGGAGGAGGTATGGGTCGGTGCTTGGTCGGGCTGAGGGGGGGCAAGTTATCGGTCGGCTGGTGCTGAGGTGTTGTATTCTCTTCCCTTGTTATTTCCTTTATCATTATTATCATTGGTGGTAGCAGTAGTGATTTGTGTTATACCTTAGTTACTAAACTGTTCTTATCTCAACCCGTGGGAGTTGCATTCTTTTCGATTCTCCTCTCCGTCCCTCCAGGAGCAGGGGGAGGGCAAGAAAGGGGTGGGGGGAAGTGAGCGAACGAGTTACCTGACTGGGTTTAAACCACGACACCATTTAACCAAAATTTAACTTCCATGTTAACAGTAAACCTATAACAACAGTATAAAACATAGTAACTTTGAGAGAAAAGCATTAGAATGCAACAGGACATTTCACTCAAACCTAGTCAGGAGTTGAGAACTCGCTGTTTTCACTGTGTATCTCCTGTCTTCTGAAGTAGTTATCTTGGTCCTGTCCCCCGCACATGTCATGATCAGACCACCAGGATTATACTGTCTGTTTTCTGATTTACTGACTTTCTACTGCCTACTGTCAATGTTGCCAGAAAGATATTAAATTTACAAACAAAAAAAGAATACTGTTAAAGCCTAATTCTACATTATTTTTTTTCTCTCAGAAATTTGAAATACCAAGAAAAAATAACATCCACAGCTGTTCTTTATATTTTCAACATGCATATATCTTTTAATTTATTCAAAATAGTAGTCATTATTTTGCCTGTTTTCATTCATTAAAAAAAGGTTAACTATTATTTGCTGTTTAAAAAATCAACAATATTTTCAATACGATAGCACCGGTAAGGTTCCATAAGAGTGTTTATATTCAAGGTAATTTTGAAAATTTGCTTGTTAGTTAAGGGTATAATAGTCACTAGTCACAAATTTCAGTGGACAGTTTACAACCAGAATGATGTGGTTACAGATCATAAAATCAGGTCAGAAATTAAGAAAGTGCTCTGTGTTCCCCTCATAAAGAAGTGATGAACAGGGAGTACTTATGGTTATCATTTCAGAAGTGACATTGAGTTTGTTTGTTTGAACTCTTAGACCAGCTACTAGAAATGAAGTACACATTTCTAGAAACCATGATACATTCATAGGAAGGCTGAGAACAACACATTTGTAAAAGCCACTGCTAATAGTAACAGCCACTTTTGAAAGTTTTCATATGCATAGACTCTGAATTAGAGTCTGAAGTTCTATGAACAGACATGTATACGAACTTTTAAAGAAACAGTTAAGTTTGAATGTGGGTATTCCAAGAAGTTACTCCCATTAAAACATCCTGGGATGGTTCTGTGAAAAATGCATCATTGCATATTTCCCTGAAAATGTGTCTGAGAATGAACTGCTAAGGGATGTCTTTTCTAATGACTTCTAAATTCTTTTCTTACTTCTGTAGCAAGTTAAGTCTTTCCCAGTAGATTAAAAAATTCAATTTCCCTGTAAAGTGTAGCTCCTAGGTATTTCAACTAGCTTAGAAATACAAAATACCAGCAATATCTGTTAAAATGTCCATATCTACTTGTATTGTTGCTGCCAACATTCACTTTAAAGATAAAATCATTATATTTGAAAAACTATTTCTACTATAGCTTAACCTTTATTGCTTTGTAGACTGAAATACAGCGTCTTTGTTTTCCTTATAGTATGTATTTACTCTTTGAAAAGTAAAGAAATTCTTTATACTGGCAGTAACTGGTACTCATCATAATATAACAGTCTTTTTTCTTTTGGGGTGTCATGATTTCAGCCTAGCTGGTAACTCAGGATAGGACAAAAAATGGGGTAGACTGTTAAGTATGTTCCCAACTTAAATAGGAACTTTAAACTGTTTTAATATGTAAAAATGCTTAGCTCAAATCAAGTGTAAATTTTCCTTCCCATTGCTTTAGCTGATATTAAATGCCACATGAAGGAAAATCCTAACAGGAAGAGAAAAAAAGATTTTGAGTAGAATGCTAGACAAAGAAAATAGTTACAAAGAGGCACTTTGAGAAGCAGACTTCCCCTTCTACACATGGAGATAATGATACTACTGCCAGCTCTTTATGGTTTTAACAAATTCCACATTAGCTGTACACCAAAACCATGGAAGATAAAAGCCAGGCTTACTCATAGCTGCATGAAGTTTGAAATATGCAGTTTTTAAAAGTTTAAGTTTTGTATGTTGTCTGGCAGAAGAAGGTGGGGTTTCTTTCTCCATTAATACTCAGGCATCCTCTGCTATCATTGAGAAAGCATTCAATTACCCTACATGCTTTTTATCATAAGGGCTGTTTACACTGCCTACAGCAGTACCTGCTGGTACGGCTGCTGGAAGGCAGATTACAACACCAGTCACTTGAAAGAAAACTGTTTCTATCATGGTTTGAAAAAGAGCTTTCGGAAAAGCTAACTTCTGTAGGACTCCCACCTACATTCAAGGCAATGCTTATATTAGCATAGATCTATCACAGGGGTGATCTTGCAAAGGAGCAAATGATTTGTGATAGAAAGCATCCTTGAGAGTTACTGCCCTTGGGAATTCTGTCAAGGGCTGTCAGAAATAGATGCAAAAACCAGCATCCACTTGGACAACAAGGCAAAAATTGGAAGACACTTTCCAAATACAACCAAGGGATTTGGTTAATTGTTTCAGCTGAGAGATGAGCCTGTATTTATCAAATGTTATTTTTCAGAATGGAACGAGTTCCAACACCGTTTCAGAGGCTTAGTTTTGACAAGTGGGGCCAGCGTGCTTAGTGGCATTTGCTGTTTCCAGATTACTACCTATAATAGTGGTGCTGCATGCATTTTTTTTTAATCTCATAGAATTTTTTAATATATTTTCAACTTGGTATTTTATTTCATGTCCATTCTGTGGAGCATGCTAATACGTCATGGCCCAACAGAGATTTCTCGCTGCCTTCTCCATGAAAGAAATGAGGACTGTGAATTTCAACAGCTAGTATTTGGTACACTGACTGGTTTGCAGCAGCTTATGCCTATTTCTTTTACTGAGGCACCTCTTCCTTGAAGTGGGGAACTCCATCCTTAACTAGACTGTGTCAGGGCAATGCAGGTACATGGAGCTGCAACTGCTAATGTTGCTTATCAAGTGAAGAGCAATTGAATTAAGAGCTGGTGGTAAGGTAAGGGAGCCTATAGGCGAAATGGCAAAGCTTCTTGGGAACCAGACTGGTGTGCTTGGCTTAACATTCTTCCAAAACCCATACTTTGTGCCTCTTGACTAGCTTTGCAAGAAGCACAGCTGTGGGTAAAAGTGGCAGGAGTATCTCTGTCCTTGGGGCAGTGTCTATGCATGAAAATTTGCTTGTAAAACTTTCTACTGAAACCTAAATAAAGGAGTTTCTAGCTTCTATGGGGATGATTTTGTTCTGAAAGCAGAGCATACCACAGGGCTGGGTGTGTGTAGCTACAGTACTGTGGCTTTGCTGATACCATTCTGCCAGTGCACTTCTTCATACTGATGTACAATCAACAGCTGAACTTCCATTAATGCTTAGATGCTTGTGACTTGTTGGCATGAATGAAATTCAGCAGCCTAAAGTACTACCATTGGAAATGAAATGGAGGCTTTTAAGTCACTAAATTCCTTCTGAAAATGTTTGGTATAGCATATATTTTCTAAAGAAATAGTACAAAACATTTCTTTACATATTTCCCTTACTTGTCTAAACAGAATCATCCCCAAAAGAACTGAAATCCAGTTAACTGTTGTCTTAAAGGACAACAGTACTTGAAACAGAGACTTTGTAAGGAGAATTAAAGAGGAGACAAGACTTTGGTTGTATTGTTCTTGGCCTTCCCAAAAGTTCCTGCTGAAGGGAAACACTTAATAAAAACTAGTTTTGATCAGCTGATTTTGAAAGGACAGTTTGTTCAATGCCAGATTAATCCCATGGAGGAACTGGAAGTCTAGAAGATGGACATTTGAGGAATTTTTGTTGGTTGTGTAGTTTGATCAGTTTCAGAACAAACACAGGAGGAAAAAACCCAACCCAGCTATGAACAAAATGGGTCAATTTCTAATTGGCTTCCTCTCAGGAAAAGATTGCAGCATTTACAATAATCTGGATACGCATTACCCGAGTTGTGACTCTCGTCATGAAAATACTATTAAGAAACCTCAAAAATATGGTCTACCTATGTATACAGTAAACATCTTCATTTTATATTTGTCAGCAAGTACATGCACAGAATCCACATTAAAGCAATGTCAGTGTTGCTAATACCCTACTGGTGTGCTATGTGGAGATACAGGTGCTATTTTGCTGAGTGATACCAGCTTTCTCTTGATTTTTCTCTACCTTTTAAGGATTATCTTCTAGTAATGGTGAATTAATTTATTAGATTTTGAAGTTGTGCTATAAAATCTTGTTTTTTGAATTAGCATTAAATTTCATAGCTGTTCTGCAAAATATCATACTGTCCTGTAATGGAATGAATTTAAGACTGGGCATCCAGTTCCACTTTATTATAGGTTTAAAGCTGTAGTAGTAGCCCTCCAAGTGCATAGTTATTGGAAATTAAGCTTCAAGGATAATCTATGTGTTTACTTTCACTGTGTATTCCCATTCCTGTATTTTAGCTTCATTCTTTGGCAAATTACAAACTGATAGATTTCTGGAGAAATATCTGGCTTTGTAGTAATTTTTTATATGTCCATTTTCCTCTCAAGCACAAAAAAATCTCATTGAAAGATTTCACAAATCAGCACATAAGATTTCTTGGTATGTACAAAATTACAACCCCCAAAATATGATTACAGAAAATAAACACAATTTGATAAGAAGTCTTTTTAACAATCATGTGGCTATGTTGGCTTTCTTAGGAACACAGTAAACAAACAAGAGAATTAGGAGCTGCAGCCAAAGATAGCAGTAGGAACAACAGTCATGGTATGCAGGTGTTGCTATGGGAAGAAACATGAGTGCAATGTTTAAAGCTTAAACCCTGTTTAATTTCCAAATTCCTCTCTTTCTAGCAAGAAAAGAAGCTGAGGAAGCACCAAACTACTGGACATAGTCAGGAACAAGGATATGACAAAGAATAAATATATTTTGCGTCTATCTTGATGCATATGAAAGAATGCTTTAGAACATTATTATCTATATATTACATAACATATACCTGCAACTTATATGGCTGGGATATTGACCGTGCTCCTAATCTAAACAGGCTTGGGGGAGTTTTGGGGGGTTGTTGTTGGCTGTTTTTGGGTTTTTTGCTTGAAAACCATATTTCTGTAGCCCTAAATGAAACCGGAGAGAGACACCGGCAGGATTTGGTGAAGGTTCAATTGGCATTAACAGTTTCTTCCCATTTTCTGTCCCTTTTTTTTTTTTTTTTTTTCTCTCTTTAAGGGGAGCAAGGCTGTTTAGGTCCCTATGGTCTTCCAGGACAACCAGGTGTTGGACAGCCAGGACCCAAGGTAACTCTCAGTGGTACTGTCTGTTGAAGTGCCAACTGTTGGCAGTCATGTTTTGGATGAAAGTTCTCACCCACTGTTTTACCAAAGTCAAGCTCTTAACATCTAAATTAAAACGGGTACAATATTGATAGATTTTTGTATTTGTATAGGATGGAGATAACAGGCCTGCCTTTCCAGCCACTCTTAACTTTTTATTGTGGTCCCACTGATATAACAGAAGTCAGAAATAATGCTATTTAAATGGAAGTTAAATATGTGAGATCATTTTCAAGCACTAGCAAATGCTTGCACTAATGGGTAAACCATACTTCAAGAAATACATCTCAGTCACTGTGATACACAGTAAAGTTATGGATTTGCCTTGGTGTTCTTCACTAGGAAACAGATATTCTTGCAGGTTATAAAATTCTCTGTCTCATGCAGCATTTAATTCTTCCATCTCATTTTATTGCAAATGAGTAGAAGGTGGAATCCATTCTTGCTAATTTGGAAAAGTCATGTTTGCTAATGCTGGCAAACAAACTCTCCTTTTGTAGAACTGGAAAAGTATCTATATAGGAAACAGGACTACTGAGTTTATGAGAGTTTTGTCAGAGACCTTACAGCTGAGACTCTAATTGGACAGAACTAGATCTCATCCTGGTTGTGCTGGCTGTGAAGTCTTTGGTGTTGCTTTATGTCATTTTTCCTCTGTTTTTTGAATCCAAGTGATAGTGTCTAAAATATCTTCACTTTTTGGCTTTTACTGCTCTAATTTGCACATTCACTGAACTCCCATGTATTTTCTGTGCAGTGGAGCAGACCTTGGAACACAGAGGGTTTTATACAGCTCAGAACCTAATAATAGTTTGCCATGTAAAAGGAAAAACACTGGGTCCTTCTAGAATAGAAAACGGCTTATGGAGAAGGAGTGTTACTCCCGGTCTCTGTAGTACCTTGGGGAGAGATAAAAATCCTCTGTACTCTTATCCTTGAAGCAGTCTTTAGTAAACTGAAAGAATTGTGAAGAGTATGACACTTTATACAGAAGATACAGACACTATGCAGTTCCTGGAGTTCCCATGCAATCCCATATTCCACTGAAGCAGGCTTCAGTTTGAGTGTCTAGATAAAGGCTACAGTGAGGATTCCTCACACATGAGCATTCCTGCTTCAAAATTTAGCCTGACTTCATTCTCTCATCCTTGTCATCCCTCAAGTCCTGCATTTTTCAGCAGTTACCCCTATGTAAAGTGATAACACACCTTTGCTGCTGGTATGGGGAATGGAATGCAATCTACTGCTCCAACTATAAATTGAAAGATTCTTTCAAATCTTTCCAAATTGTTATTTATGATTTCTCTTCCCCACCACCCCAATCAGGAGATGTTATACAATGGCTTTCAGACATTTCTGGTGTCATCACTAAGTCATCCACATGTGAATGTTGTGCTTTTCAAAAGCATTGAGTTGAATTAGGACTGAACTAGTATTTTCTTTTTTTCACGAGGGTGCTCAAGGTTGAGAAGGCAGAATTGGATTCCCAGGACCTCCTGGAATTCATGAGCCAGGATTACCTGTAAGTCAGTGATATATGGATTGGAAGTAAAAAGGTAATAAAATATGTATTAGTAAGTGTAACTAATTTGTAGGAGCTATATTGGCTACTGATTCCATAAGCCACCTTGTACTAAGTCTGGTGCAGCAGAAGTGTGTTTGGCTATGCCAGTCCAACGTTACAGCAGTATTTGCATGTGGATTGCCAAAGCAGGAGAATAAAACCATATCCAAGCATGTTCTGGGGAAATAAAAATAGCTTGATCCATGTGAGCAGGATTACAGTATCCAGTTTTCAGAAAGACATGGAGTTATATGTAAATAGCTGGACAACTACTTATTTGAGTTGAGGATAATCTTTAAAAATTGTCTAAAATCAAACTTCAGGAAGATGAACATCCAAGGGTTGAGACCTTCCTCAGCTCCTGTGTATAATTTGAATTGTATCAAAAACAAAGACCCAAATTATATGCTTTTAGTTATATCTTTATCTTCCAAATTACAGATCTTTAGCAAGTTTTTTGTAATGTTGTGCTGGTGCTCACTGGCTGCATTTCTTCCTGAAATCTATAAAATTTACCGTTTTCTTGTGTATTTCATTAAAAATCTCAAAGAAATTTTGAAAGACAGGAATGTGGGTGGATGTTAGATTCATTCTAAGTCACTTTGTAGTTGTCAAAGACTATTTTTCTTACAAAAAAAAATAAAAACTTTTTGCTTACTCAAAATCATCTTTAAAAACGATTAGCTATAAATAATGAAAGAGCAGAATTTTGTGGAAGAACAGAAAGCATTACAAGAATAATTATTTCTGTATCTATTTAAAGCAGAATTGGCATTCTCTAATTTTACATGTTTAACCTTCCATTTGTATGAAAAAAACAATGTTCAAATTAAGGATTTTCATTATGAAATAATGAAACTATATGAAATTGCAGGGAAAAAAAATCGCAGTGGTAAATGTATTGTAAATTAATCTACATGTTCATTAACTTTCAAGGGTACAATCTTTAGACATTAATTATGTAATTCACACCATTTCAGCATTAGCTTTTTCTAATATAAATCCTCCAGTTAAGGGTTGTTACACTTCATTTTAATTGCCTGGGTTCAGCCAGGTGAGCATTTTTGCTTACCAGTGTCACAAGACTTGCAAATTAGACAAAATGTCAATAAAAATGGAATTGCTGGTATAGTCTGAATATGTTTTTTTTTTTTCCTTACAGGGACCACGTGGCCCTGATGGTCTGCCAGGTGAGAAAGGTTTACCAGGAGAGGGCATTCAAGGCCAAAAGGTAGTTTTATGGAAATTGCTGTTTTTTTAATATCATGGGCCATATTTGTAGTAGTATCTAAGTTATTTGAGATCATTGATCATTCCACTGGTATAAAATAACAGCTGATGGATCTTGGTCTTCTGAATATCTCTTTGTGTTCAGAAACTCTATCAAGATAGCTACAAAAAAGCTGTACAGTCCCTTTAACATTAGTAAGTTAATGATTCTCCTGCTTATGTGTTAATAAATACCTTATTTTGGTAGCATTAATGAGAGAAATCTTCTGAAAGACTACGTAGCTATTTGGGCTCTGTATTGGAAGAAAACATTCAGGAACTGTTTTCATTCTGCCTTACCATTTTAGGAAACTGAAAGATGGGTTGTATTAGTCTCTATGGACTGTTACCTCATCAAGGGCACTTGCTAGCTTAATACATGTGAGCATTCCCTTTTTAAAAACTATGTACAAACAAGCAAAGATTTATGATTCAGTCACAACTGGGCTTCTTGTCAAAATGTATCCCTCTTTTTTAGGGGCTTGAAGATTCTCTAGAGCCTTGGACTACTAAGCAAAGATTTTTCTTCCTTTTATGGGAAAGGTGTTCGTCATGTCCTTGCACCAGGTTCCAAACTGCTCTCTCTGACTAATGAACATATCATCACATTTACAAAATGTAGCTTCCTTCTTCCTAGTATTTCCTTTTCTCCTTCTGAGGTCCTGTGTTCAAAAACACAGTGAATGCAGATGAAGCATTTAACGAATTGTAACTGAATCACTTTTCTGTAATACTAGGAATTACCTTGACTATTTTTCCTGTTTGTTTGTGAAGGAATATTTTTTTCCTCATTACCCACATTGTGATGACTAGTTTGTCTAGGACTGTGCTCTTCATAAATTCCCAAATATAGTTACAATACTGCACGTATATCTAGGGTTAAAAAGGCTCTGAAGGTGCAGCTGCTCCTCCTGGACAGCCAGGTCAATAAATCAAAGGAGACAAGATGAGGCACAGAGTATTTTTCTAATCATATCCCTAGTTAATTATAGTTAAATTAATGATGAATTATTCACACGTCACGACAATACAAAGGTATGTTTTACCTGGAATCTGAGGAGCCATGTTCCTCTGTTCCATGCAGTTGCATAGGCTGCACCCAATTATCAAGGAGCTGAGCCTCTTAATGTTAAATGGGGGGACACAGCGCTAAGGACTGTATTCTATGCAGGTGGGAGTATGAGGTAAGAAATTGACTTTTTCCTTCTAAATTTGTTTCAGAAATACTGTATTTAAAAAATTTCAAATTTTATTTAAATATTTGTGAAGTGTAAAAAGCCCTTTGAGTCACCTAATCCAATGCATCTGGAATAGGCAAAGGAACACTCTGGCTTTTGAAATTTGTTAGCTCTTTGGCACCCAGTTCCCCAAAGAGGGATCCAGAACAATTTTAATTCCCTTGGCTTGATGAAATTCTTTTTATAGGGTGAACAAGGCCAAGTAGGGCCACAGGGCCCAGCAGGACCACCAGGAACAGGCAATCCAGGAAGCCAGGTAAGTCTACATTTTGGACATGTAGTGAGCGTTTGCATGTATTTTACATTTTATACTTTATCAGAGCTCTGATTTTGATGTGAAGGCATTAAAAATCTCATAGTGATTTTTAATTTTAAAAAGTATCTAACTAGTCTTTAGGCAAAGCTTGTAAATTCAAGTGATTCCAACTGATCTGAATGGTCTCAGACTCAAGCAAACAGAAAATTGGTCAAATCTGCATAATAATTTGCACGGGATATAAATCAGATGCATTGCTTGGATGATGACATATTACAGATAACAGTTCCGCAAGGTAAGAATCCATTACTTTTGGATTTCAAGCTCTTTGAAGCTTGAACACAGCCTTTAATATTTGGATAGAGAAAACTGAAACATCCCAAAAGATTTTTTAGGTTTTGTTTTTTTCAGAAAGAAGATAAGAGTTCGTGCTTCCACCATGCTACAAATCAGGGCTTAAATGCAGATACTGAGGCACTAACAGTAATTGTCATTACACTTGGATACATCAGTGAAATAGAGAGGATAGAGACAAAGGAAAAATAAAACCAAGATCTCCAAACTAAGCCTGAGCACAGGCATGGAAATTGTTTTCTTTTGAAGATAAGATAAAATCATAATTCACTGAAAGATGGAAACGTGATGAGTTTCAGATGTGGAAGACTGTAATTCGCTCACTTATTTTACTTTGTAGGGTATACAGGGTCCCTAAGGAAAGCCTGGGGCTAAGGGATCTAAAGGTTTTGGTCTGCCAGGTCCAAAGGTAGTAAGTCACATATTATTTTTTAAAAATAGTACCAGCAAAACCCAACAAGCAATGTATCCTTGCCAGGCTTTTCAAGAGTCTGTTTGATGAGGTAAAAATGTAACTCTTGCTGGAGATAACAATTCACTTTTGAATCTTTGAGGGGAAACCACCCATGTTATCAAGGGGTTCCCCAGATGGAGCCTATGGCCCCATCTGGAGCCTATGATGCTTAGCATCAGCACTTAACCTTTGTGAATGGTGATTTTAGGTTCTAAATGAAGGCAAATTCATAAATGAAGCATCTCTCAGACATCAGTTTAATTCTATGTCACATACGCATTGTGTTCAAGTAAATCATTTAACCAAACAACTTAGCTGTAAAATAGTAATGATTTTGAGACTTAAGGCCAGTCCCATCATACTTTCAGCCTGTCCTTCAGCATCCTGTGGTCATCATAAGAACTAAAACCAAACATAGACACACTAGAAGAGAAAAAAGAGCATAAGTGCATTTGGCTGACACTGCACCACAGAAGGAGGGAAAGAAGGAAGAGAACAGGAAAGTGGGGTAAACAATTATGGCTGTCCAAGCCTGGGCTGCTAGCAATACAGTGTCAGGCGGACACTGTCAGAAGAGAGAAGGGGAATTGCTGAAATACTAAGGATGGCAAGCAGAATAAACTGATGAACTGTAAAACAGAAGTGTGCTTTGTAATCACCTTGATGTACAAAACGAAGACATTAGTCACTGTAGCAAAAGTAGGGAGAAATACAATAATTTTCTTTGGCATGTAAGTAATGTTACAGCAGCAATGTTTAATATTAATATAGGGAAAATTGTGCAGCTGTGAAACATGTTCTGTATGAGGACAATTTTCCTAATGCAAAAAGTATTTTTAAAATCAAAATTGAAAAATGGAATTCCTATTTCTTTAACTGTTCCAGAACAACTGGAAGGAACAATCATGAGGGTAAAACTTTCTTTTAAGCAGAAGTTCTGATATTTATTTGGGCTCACTTTTCCTTCAGTGACCAAAGAAATTTTGATTTAGTGGTATGAAGTCAAAAAAGAAAATAGTTTAAAACAAAAAGGAGGAAGTTGGAATGATTCACTTAGACTTTCTGCCCACTGCAAGGTTAAATAAAATAGATGCAATCTTACAAGTTACTGGGGGTTTTAAAGAACAGAATTTTCCAGTTAAAACTGCTTGATTGAAAACTTGACCGCTTATAACTATGGAATCACAGAATCATGGAATATCTCAAGTTGGATAGGACCCCTAAGGATCATCAGGTTCAATTCTGCTTGTAAACCAGTTAGTGAAGTAGTGCAAGAAATTAATGAAGCTAAATCGTGTCTCTTTGTTAAGCAAGACTTTTTATTACTAGGGTCAACCAGGTGTACCTGGACAAAAAGGAGAACCAGGACATCCAGCAACTGGGGAGCAAGGACTTAAAGTGAGCCTATTTTTATTTGTAACTGCTCCTTACAGGGTCCTCTAATTCTTTCACTAGTTGCTGATAAATTAAGATTTTCGGTATAAATTGACTATGATCAAAATAAGAAGAATTTCAGTGACAGATATTCACTTAACTTCACAGTTTTAGGTTTTAAATGCAAAATGCTGGGCTAGAGCTCCCACCTTCTCTCCTAAAATCATTACTGCAGCCATAGCTGGAATGGAGTTTGCCCATCTTTTCTAAGCTCGTGAGGTATTTCTAAAGCCTGTGAGAAACATTACTACCTCTGTTCCCCTGCAGTGATTTGGAAAAAAAAAAGCCCAGTCTGTGTGACAGTGGTGGTTGTACTGCCTACATGTTAGAAGAGCCATTAAACATTTACTGCTTTGACTTCAGCTGCCATTTTGAACACTGCATACCCTGTCCTTAATGATTATCATTAATGTCCTTAATGATAAGTAGGGCTTCCAAAATCTTGGGTAAGATGACACAGACATCTTGCTGCTGGTGATTTTTCCCAGGCTTGTTGAAGAAGTACTTGGCAGGACTAGCTCCTACGGATAGTTTCAACTCTTTGTGGCAATTCTTAAAAGTAATGCCTAGACCCATTTGTACAGCCAGCAAGGTGGTAGTCTCCAGTCAATAACTCCATTTAGGCATTTTTGGCTGACCATTTCTTAAGTCCCAGATGTTTGAATTTACAAGTAAATTGTAATTGTATAATATTGTTCTTGTGCACAGAATAACAAAGCAGCATTCAATCATGTTTTTCCTCACTGAAAAAAATATAAATATATTTACAATTTTAAAATTTAAGAAGTAGGTGAGGAGCTTGGAAGGAAATTTTAAATACTTATTTTAGATTGTATGAACAGAAAAAAATACAGGCTCCATAGAGTATTTAACTTACTGGGAATAACAACGTTTATTTGAGAAAAAAATATTGTGTACCACGAATGTTTTTTTTTTAACACACTGTTAAGTCTATTTTACAGAGTATAGACAGATATAATTATTTATTCCTTTTTAAGGGAGACATGGGTTTATCAGGATTCCCAGGAGAAAGAGGGGTGCAGGGAGATCCTGGGAAATCAGGAAAAAAGGCAAGAAAATGTATTTTACCCCATGTAAAAGGTATAGACAAAAGAAGAACAAACCATTTTTTGCAGGTATGCAGTGTAAAGGAGTTCATCATGTAGAAGGGCGTGTGCCAATACTTCTGCCAGGGAAGAGGAGCTGGCTAGCTGAGATGTTTCCAATAAACCATCTGAATCTGCACCTGATTTAGCTGTCCTGCCTTTTGTGGGCTGTTGACTACTGTTAAACTTCACAATCTTCCTGGAGAACAGACAGGTTATATCTTTAGCCTGTTCCTCACAGCCTGTTCAGATATTTCCTGACACCAAGGAGTAATGCTCACGTTGATGTAACTTAGGGCATCTGGAGGATGGCAAACTCTGACTGAAACCTGTCAGCCTGGTACAGACACCATCACAAACAGCTGAAACTAGAACTGCTTGTTTCCAAGGGAAATTCTGAGATTTTAAGAGACATTCTGCCACATTCTGGAAAAAAAAAAAAAAAAAAAGCATAAATTCAAAATGGTAGACAAGAATTTAGAGGAGTGCAAAGCTGAGTGCCCAAAATAGTCAATTTAGAATAAGTTAAATGGAGGCTCTTTCTGAATAGAATGAGCTGCTGAGTGGGCAAAACACAGTGCTTTAGCTGATTCTTGAATTGCTGCTGAGAATCCAGGTGCCTCTACGGTCTCCTACTGTGCAGCTTTTAAATGAGGATAGCAGCTGGCCAATGTGTAGAACTGATGAACTGAACATGATTCAGAGTAAGGCAAATCAGCACTTTTTGGCTGCAAGCCTTTATTCAGAAGATATCTGAATAGCTGTAATAAACATCTATTAAGAATGCAGCTTCGTATTCTTCTCATCTCAAGGACAGTGCAAATCCAGTTTGACAAGATACACCTCAGTCAGTAAGCCTTCCACTATGGAAAAATACGTAGCATTTCTGTTGCTGCTTAATTATTTTTATTATATTTGAAATTGCCCACTATGTAAGTGCTCAGGAAGACCTCAGTGTATCGAAAGTGAAACATTATAGTTACAAGTAAATATTGGGTTAAAGTTACAGGTGGCTTTTGTATTTGGGAATGCTGGGGTATTATTCTCTTGAGTATTGCTTTTATTCCCATGATCAGTTTGGTGCTGTCACCTTAACTGTTGTAATTCATTATAGGTGAAAATACTAGTACTGAGCAGCTGTCTTGGGTATTTGGGACAGTGCAAAGAACAGCTTGATGCTTGCAGTGGGCAGCATGGTGATGTTAAGGCAGTTACTTGCATGTTTGAAGCTGTGTCACAGTAGTGGAATATACTCTGATGCCTATCAACAGCACGCTCTGTAATGCCACTTCCATCAACAGCTCAAATCAGAAATGGATTTTTAAACTTACTTGTAGTCTACTTTTCACTTTCTAAATTATGTACAGGCATTCCGTTATACTAATCTGACTTATATGATGCCTAAATAATAATGTTCCTTAATAGTACATTTTATGTGGGTTATTTTTGCTAATAATATTTTTGTTAATAATTTGCTAATTATTTGAAGCTATGCTTCTGGCTAGAAGTTATGCTTCTTTGCTGACTAGACCGGCCTTTGGCTACAGAGCTGCCTAAAATTATTGCTTCTTAGAAGCTGTTTTTCTTTAAATTGGACAACTAAGACCTTTTCTGATAACTGAAAGTATTTCTCTTCTTCATATGAGTTTATGCATGTAATTCCTTCCACAAAAGCTTGATGCAATTGCAAATGGCACTATTACAGTTGAGTAATGAATTGTAGTGAGTTGTGAAAATGAGGAATATAAATGCAGGAGGGTGGAAGGGGTTTGAGAAGACAGAATACTTCTTTATTTTTTGTAGGAAAAAAATTAACCAGATATTTACTGACATTTCTGGGTAAAGTGTTTATGCAAGCATTGTTTCATATAAGTCTATTGATTCAATAAAATTAGCTACATGATTAGCCATCTAATCTCTGTTAGGGAGAAAAGGGAGATCAAGGTCCAAGAGACCCAGAAGGACCCCTGGCAAAAGAGATGTAGTCCAAAAGGTACGACTTGACATGCACACTGAAGAAATACTGCAACTTTAGAAGGTCCTATTTTATAAGTGTTCAGATTCTGGACTATTTTTTCTTTCATTATATCTCACAGTAGCACCTGTGGTTTAACTGATGATTTAAAAGGTTTTGAGAGTGATGTGCTCCTTAGCCTGATCAAATGCAGCAAAATCAGACTATAAGCATAGGCCCTGAATTAATTGAGCTGTAGAGATTTCCTGAAATTGTAATAGATAGTTTTCATTCAAGTTAGCAGGAGGCAAATTATCTCGGTATGCTGATAGGGAGAGAGCAGCTAAGAGAAATTAGGTGACTAGTTAGATATCTAAAAACAAAATTAAATCCTGAAAATATGTGTTAGTAGGCAGACAGACTTAATCTCTCACCTGGTTAAATTTGGGACATTTGGGGAAGATTTTAGAACTGAGTGGGATTTCAGTTGGAGTGGAGCGTCTAAATACCTTTCTAGTTATGGGCATCATTATGATGATATATACATAATATATGTTACTGTGGGGAATGCTGCACAGGAAGCTGCACCAGCAGACCTGAACGAGAGCATGAACATCCTGACCTTCATCAGTTGCAAACCATGGGAGTCAAGAGGAATCGAAGTTAAAACACTGAGATAATCTCCGAGAACTGTAGATATTGAAACAAAGAAGTTACTGAAGACAAAGATGTAATGTTGTACCCGAGACATTGCCAGGAGCTAATGAGTCTCCAGTGTGGACTGTGGGGACAAAAGAATGTGTACCAAGGAAAATGGAAAGTCATAATGTAGCAGAAAGTGGTAACAGAAAAATGTGCTTAGACATCTGGGTACAAATAAGATGTTCTAGCAAAGGCGCATGGACAATAATGTGAGTGGTTGAAAAGGTGCGTGATCAGTAATGTTATTGTCTGGGAAAAGCGCATGAAGTTGCGAAAAGTGCTGAAAAGAGACTATTGGATACTAACGATTGCTAACTGCTAGGCAGGGGTCTACAAAAAGCCTGTAAGCTCACTCAATAAATGGTTTCGGTTGCACCACAACTGGAGTCTGTGCCTCAGTTGCCACATATTATGGTTATTTGTGTATCTTCCAGTTATGAATGAATCTTGGCTATGATTGATAAAGGTTTGTTTTCCTCAGGGTGACCCTAGAGAAAAAGGATCCCAAGGACTGACTGGTTCTAAAGGAGCAGAAGGCCCAGCTGGATCAAAAGTAAGCTTGTTCTTCCACTTTGTATTTTATAAAAGGATGTATGGAATTCATGTAATGCACAGATTTCTTAAGCATAGGGTGCTTGGAGACTTAGCAGAAAAAAGGAAAAGCAGAAATATTTTTGTCCCCTGTCCTGAATGATACAAAAATCCCAAGGAGAAAAAGAGTAGGTAAACATAGACTCACAGACCTTGTAGTTATGCACAAGGACCGAGAAACTAAATTAAAGTTGCCCAGATGATTCTATGAGCATTTTGCAATTTTTTACTTTGAAACATTAATTTGCTATTATCATATTTTGTGAGTGTCACTCTGTATGATAACGAAATTGAAATAATGCATCTGTTCTGGTTATTGCATTGGCTTTGTAAGCCAGGCACAAAACATTAATACAAGTTAAAAAAAACAAATACACAGTTCAACCAATAGTTACTTAAACACGAAGCGTAGACAGGCTTTCACAAGAGCAGTAGTTAATTTATGGTTTTTTCCCAATATTTGTAGGTAGATCTATATTGTGGATATTTTTATAATATGAGGTGTTGGCAAAACTTTTTACTACTTGTTCAGAAAATGAAACTGTTTAAATCTAGATGGTGCAATTTTGTAACAGGGTGAACGGGGAGAGAAAGGACTCCCTGGTGTCACTGGATTATCTGTTCGGGGACCTCCTGGACCAAAGGTGATTGATTATCTGATTGTTTGCTGGAGACCAGAGACTGGAAAATTTCCAGTGCACATGCCTCTCAAAAGAATGTAAGTTAAAGAAGTTAAAATTCCTTGTTGTAGTAATAAAGATGACTGATTATTATTTTAGAAATAAGGACTGAAAGGTATACAAAAAATCAACACAGAGTGTTTGTGAGCCCTGTAACAGGATGCTGAACTTAGTGCATGCTATTGCCTCCTGAATCCATTTGTTAAAAAAAATAAATCCTTATAACATTTCTGTTGTCTTTGAAGTTTTTTTCCTGTTTTTTGGTTTGGTTTGGTTTGAATTTACTATGTATTTTGATTCTTAGACCAAAGATTTCCTGAATGTGGCAGTAAATCCCTACAGGAATGTGTCTATGTATAGTTCCAGATATGCTGAACTAGATGATTTTTTGGGGATGAATGTTTGTATGTCACTTCCAAGTGAACAGCTGGCCCGTACACACTACTTTAAATACAGTGTCATATATGAGGTAGTTAGAGCTACATCCATCTTATTTTCTCCATGGGGAAAATGTACTTGAAATGAGTGGGAGTTGTCCTGCTAAGTAAAATATGAAGATTCAGCAAAAGTAAATATAACTCTGAAGGTTTTCAAAACGTTTGAAAATTCACTACCAGCACATTTTTATTTTAAGAATAAAATAGTTGCTGTTTGTATAAATACATCAATTTACTTCAACTTTAATTGATGGTTTTCAGTTTTGCTGATATATAATTTTTGGGATAGAGAAATCATTAATGTGCATTTTATCGTTCTGGAATAATTTTGTCCTCATTTTTCTTCTTCCTTAAAAATACATATGCCCTCACACACAAGCACATGTGGGTATTGTACATACAGTGTACTCATGAGCCTTGCAACAGGGCATCACAGAGGCAGGAATGTGGTTTGGACTTGCTTGTGCATGGAGGAGGAAGGAAGAAGGGAATAAGAAGCTCAGTGTACATCTGGAGTAAAAATGCAACCAAATTTTATGTCAGGAAAATATAAGTAGTGTGCTATAATACACAACTTGTCTGAAGATAGTTTTGACTACACCAGTCTTCTGTCTTCACATTTTCATGGTTACTTTGTCATTTTTTTTAAATAGACAATTATGGAAGTCAAGATTATTTATTGATAAAACTCGTGCTGAAAAAAAAAGAACTTTATTGACTTTATTGCCTTTTTCACTCTGATTTTGTAGTGTTCAGTATAATTCATATCCCTTTCATAGCAGGCTGACCACAATCAAAAATTCCCTGGGGCTGTAGGATTTTTTCCACACACTACTAAATTTTAGATGAGGGGTTTTATGTGCAGTGGCTGATGCAAGAAAGCAAGTATTTCAGGTAATTCAAAAATGCAAGTTGATTTTTAGAAAATAGACAAAACTTTGTCTCTTTAGCTCCATAATAATTTCTTTGTTTAAACATGTATCTGCTATGTTTCCGACAATCGCTCAATAATGTAACAGATTAAAGAGATCTGTTTTCTCTTTCCACTGTGAAAAGTGCAATGATTACTAGTAATTATGTTCTTGGTAAATCCTAGTATCTGCAGTAGTGAAGTCAGACATTCTAAATTTCTAATGCAGGGAATCCGCATGTTTTTCAAAGCTGGGAGTTATCATGGTCTGAGGTCTTTTTATTACATCTCTTAAGTATTTGATGTAGCAGTGAAGGGTTGCTAGACAACTTCTGAACAGCCATGGTTGTGTTCACTGGAAATTTATGTATTTTAAGCAACACCCACATTTGGAGACTAGAGTTCTATTTTCCTTGACAGCCATTATTACTAATGTGGAGACAGTAACACTTGATAGCTGTTTTTTCTCATATTCCTTTCTCATGGTTACAGCTGCTTGATGGTTTTGATAGAACATTTCATCTGCATTCCCTGGTGAATGATTCTTGAAATGCTGCCTGTCCTTCTCACTAGTGTTAAAAATTGCAATTTTTATTAAAAATCAAAATTTTTCTTTCTTTCTTTCTTTCTTTCTTTCTTTCTTTCTTTCTTTCTTTCTTTCTTTCTTTCTTTCTTTTCTTTCTTTCTTTCTTTCTTTCTTTTTCTTTCTTTCTTTCTCTTTCTTTCTTTCTTTCTTTCTTTCTTTCTTTCTTTCTTTCTTTCTTTCTTTTTCTCTTTCTTTCTTTCTTTCTTTTTCTTTCTCATTTGAAAGAGTGTAGAAGCAATTTTCTCTATATTATTCCTTGGAAAGTTTGCCCAAGTAGATCAATTCAGAATGCCATCTGTGACATTGATGGTAGTTGCCCTGTTGCCAGCAATCTGCCTTAGAGTGGGTCACAGTGATTGCCTTTTCCAGACCCCACAAAACTCTGGAAAACAGCAGTCACAGAACTGCTCCTGGGACATATCTTGTATATTCTTCATGCAGCTATTAAAAAATAAAATCTAAATAACCTGGACTAAAACTAAATAATTAGTCCAGGTTGGATGAGGCTTTGAGCAACCTGGCGTAGTGTGAGGTGTCCCTGCCCATGGCAGGAGGGCTGGAACTAGATGAGCTTTAAAGTCCCTTTCAACCCAAACCATTCTACGATTCTGTGACTTAGAGAACTGTTTCTACAGTAGACTTGGCCATAGATTTGACTTAAATAGATTTATAGATGTTACTAATGACAAAACCAGCCTCTTCAAAAAATCCCAATTCTTAAAGAATTTGTTAACGTGTATTAGGCATTTACAATGGTCTGCTATGATTAAATGAAAACATCTGTTTGGCAGTTTTTTACTGTAGTGGAATTAGAAGTAAAAATAGAGATGAACTCATGTTCTGTGGTTTCCTTTCTTATTTACAAAAACATTTCTAAAATCTTTGTTATTTTATCCTTAGTTTAAGAACTATGGATATTAAGGACGAGGAAGAGGTAAAAATTACTTTCCATTATAAAGATATTTATGAACTAGAAGCACACTCATTGTTTAAATTTTCACAGAACTGGATCAGAATTACATCATTTGAAAATTAAGGAACATGAAGAAAAATATTCTTTGGCTAATGCAGTTTGACTCTGATAGTCAGGTTGAGTTTAAAGTCTTCCAGAGAAACTATCTTTTTGGACAGGAGAATAGGTGAAATTCATACAGGAGTGACCTACCATGTACAATTTTCTTAAAGCATAAGGCATGCTCGTATCCCTATCACAATTTTCATCTTAAAGTGGTTTCAGGGTTTCATCTTAACCAGAACACTGAGTTTACCAGATGTGTTGGGGGAGGGGGGCATCGTTCCATCCCAACACACCCAGTCAGTTGCCAGCACCTATAATAAATGCTCGGAGCAATGCAGAGATATCCCAGCCGCTCCAGCCAAGGAGCCGGCTTCATTTGGAGCTCGGCTCAGATGCCTCTATACAAATGCCCATAGCATGGGGAACAAACAAGAGGAATTAGAGATGTGTGCACTTCTATGGGGGTATGATATAATAGGCATCGCAGAAACATGGTGGGATGGCTCCTATGACTGGAGTGTTGGAATGGAAGGTTACAGGCTCTTTAGAAAAGACAGGCCTGGCAGGTGGGGAGGGGGAGTTGCCCTTTATGCAGGGATAGGCTGGAGAGTATGGAACTCTGTCTGGGGACAGGTGAGCAGTCCACAGAGAGTTTGTGGGTCAGGGTTAAAGGGAGAACAGCTATGGGAGACGTTACTGTGGGGATCTGTTACAGACCTCCTGATCAAGGAGAACCTGCGGATGAAGCACTCCATAGACAGATAGGAAAAGCCTCACGCTTGCAGGCCCTTGTTCTCATGGGTGACTTCAACCACCCTGACATCTGTTGGAACGATGGTATGGCCTGGCACAAGCAATCCAGGAGGTTCCTCAATTGTGTAGAAGACAACTTCCTTCTGCAAGTAGTAGAGGAGCTGACAAGGAGAGGTGCCATGCTTGACCTCGTGCTCACCAACAGGGAAGGGCTCGTCGGAAATGTGATGCTTCAGGGCAGCCTGGGATGCAGCGATCATGAGATGGTCGAATTTGAGATCCTCAGGACAGTGAGAAGAGCGTGCAGCAAGCTCACTGCCCTGGACTTCAAAAGAGCAGACTTTGGCCTCTTCAGGAACCTGCTTAGTAAGATTCCATGGGATATAGCCCTAGGGGGCAGGGGGGCCCAAGACTGTTGGTTGATATTCAAGGATCACCTGCTACAAGCTCAGGAGTGTTGCATCCCAACCAGAAGGAAGTGCAGCAGGAGGGCCAGGAGACTTCCTTGGATGGATAATGGGCTGCTGAGAAAAATTCAAAGGAAAAAGGAGACTTATAAAAGGTGGAAGCAAGGACAGGCAGCGTGGGAAGAGTACAGGGGTGTTGTCCAGGAACCTAGGGACCAGGTTAGGAAAGCTAAGGCCCAGTTAGAATTAAACTAGGCTAGGGATATTAAGGATAACAGGAAGGGATTCTATAGGTACATAGCTAAGAAAAAACAGACTAGGGACAACGTAGGCCCCCTCAGGAAGCTCTCGGGAGAACTGGCTACACAGGATTTGAAGAAGGCTGAGGTTCTGAATGACTTCTTTGCCTCGGTCTTCACTGGCAAATGATCTGACCAAACCATCCAAGTCCTGGAAGGCAGACACAAGGACTGTGAGAATGAAGACCTTGGGCCCACTGTAGGAGGGGATCTGGTTCAAGACAATCTTAAAAACCTGAACATACACAAGTTCATGGGTCCTGATGAAATCCATCTGTGGGTCCTGAAGGAGCTGGTGAATGAAGTTGTGAAGCCGCTGTCCATCATATTTGAGAAATCATGGCAGTCAGGTGAAGTTCCAGATGACTGAATAAAAGGGAAATATAACCCCCATTTTCAAGAAGGGGAAAATGGATGACCCAGGGAATTACAGAGCAGTCAGTCTCACCTCTGTGACTGGCAAAATCTTGTACCAGGTTGTCCTGGAAGGCATGCTAAGGCACATGAAAAACAACAAGGTGCTTGGTGACAGCCAGCATGGCTTCACTAAGGGGAAATCCTGCCTGACCAATTTGGTGGCCTTCTATGATGGGGCTACAGAACTGATGGACAGGGGTAGAGCAGTTGATGTCATCTACCTGGACTTGTGCAAAGCGTTCGACACTGTCCCACACAACATCCTTGTCTCTAAATTGGAGCGACATCAATTTGATGGATGGACCACTCGGTGGATAAAGAACTGGCTGGATGGCCACATGCAAAGATGTGGTCAATGGCTCGGTGTCCAGCTGGAGACCAGTAATGAGTGGTGTCCCTCGGGGATCAGTGTTGGGACCGGTCTTGTTCAACATCTTTGTCGCTGACATGGACAGTGGGATTGAGTGCACCCTCAGCAAGTTTGCCGATGACACCAAGCTGTGTGGTTTGGTTGATACACTGGAGGGAAGGGATGCCATCCAGAGGGACCTTGACACGCTTGTGAGGTGGGCTGATGCCAACCTCATGAAGTTTAACCATGCCAAGTGCAAGGTCCTACACCTGGGTCGGAGCAATCCCAGGCACAGCTACAGGTTGGGCAGAGAAGAGATTCAGAGCAGCCCTGCGGAGAAGGACTTGGGGGTGTTGGTCGATGAGAAAATGAACATGGGCCGGCTTCAGTGTGCGCTTGCAGCCCAGAAAGCCAACCGTATCCTGGGCTGCATCAAAAGGAGCGTGACCAGCAGGTCGAAAGAGGTGATCCTGCCCCTTTACTCTGCTCTCATGAGACTTCACTTGGAGTATTGTGTGCAGTTCTGGTGTCCTCAACATAAAAAGGACATGGAACTGTTGGAACAAGTCCAGAGGAGGGCCACGAGGATGATCAGGGGACTGGAGCACCTCCTGTATGAAGATAGGCTGAGAAAGCTGGGTCTGTTCAGCCTGGAGAAGAGAAGGCTGCATGGAGACCTCATAGCAGCCTTCCAGTATCTGAAGGGGACCTATAGGGATGCTGGGGAGGGACTCTTCATTAGGGACTATAGTGACAGGACAAGAGTTAACAGGTTAAAACTTAAACAGGGGAAGTTTGGATTGGATATAAGGAAGAAGTTCATTACTGTAAGGGTGGTGAGGCACTGGAATGGGTTGCCCAGGGAGGTTGTGAATGCTCCATCCCTGGCAGTGTTCAAGGCCAGGTTGGTCGAAGCCTTGGGTGACATGGTTTAGTGTGAGGTGTCCCTGCAGTGGGGGTTGGAACTAGATGATCTTCAGGTCCTTTCCAACCCTAACTATTCTATGATTCTATGATTCTACCTTGTCTTTCTGCATTCACATACCTCTTAATCTAAACCTGTGATGTGTGTCTTTAGGAGAGCCAAAGCAGCTCTTTCATTTTTCCTTGCCAGGGTTAAATTGGTTAGGAAGATCTGATTGCTTGTGTCTATGGTGGAGTCTGAGCTGCTAGTAGGACTCCATCTGTGGTTTCTTGAAGCATTATGTTATTGCAGAAATTTCCTGGCACAATGCACAGATGAAACAGCAGATTTCTGTCATTTGTAGTTTCGTTTTTCTAGATATTATTTTTACTGGAGTAGTCAGGGAAATATTTGCTATTTGTATGTAATGATTCTTCAGGATATGTTATCTGTATGTATATTAACAACTGACCCTCCAACACTCTACTGGAGAGTCCATTTACTTTTCTTTATTCTGTGGGACTGAGTAAAGGGTGTACACTTCTTGTATGGCCTTATATATACCATGCTTAGGAATGGGGAGGATGTGTGACCTACAAGTATCAGTAAGGATTTCTGGTGCTGTCATGTGAACATCTACAGTACCAACTGCCAGTATATCTTCAGGGGTACCTCAAAGTAGTATGTTTTCTGTCTTGGTTCTGTGAAGAATAGTCTATTGCAGGCTCAGTTAATTTTCTCATTAAATGTCAGGAAAATGATCACTGGAATGAGGGAAAAGATTGCTATTTGTTTCTCTTCTGGTTGTGAAAGGAAGCACTGAGGTTTTGCAAATGCGCAAATCTTTAGTGGAAGTCAGTGGAAGAGTCATGGAATGACTGTGTCCTGATACAGAGCATTTTAGGCTAAACTAAAAGAAATTATGTATTTTTCATAACCGGTTGTTCTTTCTTTTACTTCTTTGTAGAAGGCAGTTTTGCTATACTGTGTGAAAGAATCAATGTGATTTCATGGAATTGCAAAAATGTGCATATGATAACTTAAGGCTGTCATATTATGTTATAGTATTGTTAAATGTCTTGTTCAAATGTCAGGACTTAGCCTCAAAGTCATAAAAGTTCAACTTTCTAAATTTACCTTTGTATTCGCTGAAGATGCAGTCAATGTTCTGAAGATTTCTCTCTGCAACTAAAAATCTAACAATTAATAGTGTTCTAATGAGAACTACGATTCTTCAGCAATTTGAATTTGATCAACTGAAGCTACAATAAAAAAGCACAAAAAAAAATCTGAGCTTTATGAACAAATTGCAAGAGCTGGTAACTGCTATTCTGTATTTCCAAAAGGATACAAAATATTTTCCTGGCATATTTGTTAATATTTGTTATGTCATGATGATCCGCTTACTGGTGTGGTGCCTGACTTACATTTTGTATTTAGGGTAACCAGGGACTACCTGGAGTACCTGCACCCCATGGAGAAAAAGGTGATGGCCACAAAGGCGAAGCTGTAAGTACAATTTTAATTCTGTACTTTGTGTTCTATTAAAAAAAAAAAAAAAAAAAATTGGTTGATAATTCAATATTTACTTAAGTAAGGGAACATGAGCCAGCTTCAGTGTGCACTTGCAGCCCAGAAAGCCAACGGTATCCTGGGCTGCATCAAAAGGAGTGTGACCAGCAGGTCGAAGGAGGTGATCCTGTCCCTCTACTCTGCTCTCATGAGACCTCACCTGGAGTATTGTGTGCAGTTCTGGTGTCCTCAACATAAAAAGGACATGGAACTGTTGGAACAAGTCCAGAGGAGGGCCATGAGGATGATCAGGGGACTGGAGCACCTCCTGTATGAAGATAGACTGAGAAAGTTGAGGCTGTTCAGCCTGGAGAAGAGAAGGCTGCGTGGAGACCTCATAGCAGCCTTCCAGTATCTGAAGGGGGCCTATAGGGATGCTGGGGAGGGACTCTTCATTAGGGACTATAGTGACAGGACAAGAGGTAACAGGTTAAAACTTAAACAGGGGAAGTTTGGATTGGATATAAGAAGGAAATTCTTTCCTGTTAGGGTGGTGAGGCACTGGAATGGGTTGCCCAGGGAGGTTGTGAATGCTCCATCCCTGGCAGTGTTCAAGACCAGGTTGGACGAGGCCTTGGGTGATATGATTTAGCGTTAAGGTGTCCCAGCCCATGGCAGGGGGGTTGGAACTAGATGATCTTCAGGTCCTTTCCAACCCTAACGATTCTATGATTCTATGATTCTAAGTGCAACTAAGCTCTTTCATCCTTTAGCTAACATAAATATTTCATACATATTTTGAAGTCCTTTCTTTCCTGTCCCAGAGACAGTGCCAGTTCTACAGGCAGTTGAAACTGGATACAAAGTTCTCATTTCAGCATCCTGAAAAGGATACCATGTAATTCCATGAAAATCTTCATGGCTGCTCATGTATGTTTAATATAATCACTGCTCTGAATTATTTTCCTTTCCTCCTTCCTTCCCTTCTTATTCTTCTTTACTGTTCTTTGATCAAGATCTCTAATAACATCCGCTTGGCCAAATTTTGCAGCCTTCAGTTCCTTTGGGTTTCAGCTGCTTTTCATGCTGGGGGGGTTAAATCCTCTTTGTTGAAGATTTGCCCCCCAGCACCACCTGGCTTTTCTGATAGTGATCTCCAGAGGATGTCAATACCTGCATATTCCACCTGACACATTCCATTACAAGGGCATATTACCCTAAATTTCAGTCACCCAAAGACACACAGACATGTTTCACCAACCTTTCACTAGGAAGTGAAAATATTGTTGACATCCCTCAAGCTCCACATCAAACTTCCATTAGCACTATATTCTTTATGCCTGCAATCCAGCTTTATTTCAAACTACAACCACAAAGGCATTCACAGGTACACTAAGGTGAAACCTGAGTGCTTCCAAGTAAGTCACGTCTCAGTTCCAATTTCCTATCATTCAAACTGATCCTGGGAAGAGCCTTTGGGATCAGAATTAGTTCAGAGGGAATTCACTCAGAATTCCTGGTGTAACACTACGTACCTGATATATTTCACAGCACACAGGGACACTAGACCAGCTCAAGACTCCCTGGAGAGTCAAGGAGTGCCATTAACAAACCCAGACCCATTAAAGAGAGCACATGAAAACGTGCCATCCCAAATGAAAATAAAAAGGAAATGCAAAGGCAATCATGAAGAAGACCTTGATGCACCTAGAAGACTGACAAACTTTTAGTAGTCCTTAAAATGCCTCGCAGGAAGTGAAGTTTTAAGCTTTGAAAGATACCTGTTTAAACTATATGGAAAAAGAATAAAATGAAAGTATTGGTAGATACAAAATCAAAGAGGTCAGTGAGAAGCTGAAAACTTTTCATTTTTAGTTAATCAGAGAACTGAAGAGAAGCCTGGTTTGGTAACCACTGATTAAAGTGATTAAGAGCACAAAAGCTAGTTGTAGTCTGCCCAGTCACAAGATGACAAACTTGCACGTTTGCACTTCCTGCATTTCTATTAGTGCCTAGGCAATTAAAAAAGGGAAAAAAAAAAAAAAAAAAAGCAAGCTTTGCTGTGCAATAGTATTCCTGAAATCATGTCTGTTCTAGGAATCCCATCTGCAACTGCTGCAAGAATCATGCTTCTCTGCTACTCAATCTCAGGCTTCAGCAAAGCTGGTTGTGTTTCTCCCGGCCACATGAATACACACCCTTGAAATGTGTGAAGGTTCTGTTGTGCTGTAGCATGCACATTTTCCCCTTCTCTGCTGCCTTTCCATGCCCCATAATCTGTAAAGACCAACTTTATAAACCACCAGCAGACATGGACAAGACTTGTGTACCTAGGTCTCTGTAGCATGATGGGGAAAAGACATCTGCCCTATGAATGATAAAAGAGAGGCTGTGGATGCATCCAGCAGTATGAAAGGCAGATGTATGAGCTATGATGAATTGATTACTGACTTTAGGAGAACAGATTGTCAAACAGAAATACATCGAAGCATGTTAGAGTTACCTCACTCCCAAATTTAGATGGCTTAACTCTGGTATTTCAGATTGTAATATCTGCAGTGTATGAATCATGAAGCAATATCTGCTTTCTCACTGGTACCTTTTTGCTGAGAACAACTCCAATGGTCTTAAGTGAAGAGCTGGACATTTTTTATACTACTCTGGTAGTCTTTTCAGGTTTCCACCTGGGACGGAGGATAACTGTGGCTCAGTACACATTGTAAATGTGACGAATTTGACAAAATACAGCAAAACCAAAGAGATTAGTAACTATTGCTGAAATTATTTCCTTTGTTGAAGAACACAAATATTCTTCCTTTAGGACAACTATTGACGTGTTTTATTCCTCTGCTGTACCAGGGACCTCCAGGACCAGCACGCCCCCCAGGACCAGCAGGCCCAAAAGGCTTGGGAGATCCTGGACCAAAGGTACGTGTACAAAGATAGTAGATGCATCTGATTAGTAGACAAGGTAGACAAACATCTTTTAAAAAAATGCATTAGATTAGAATGCTACATTTATGAAAAAATGCTGTGATCTTATCTCCCATTTTCTGTTTCAGTTAAAGTTTGTGATAGACTTTTCTGCTATGATAGATAGAAATCAGTTCTTGCTTTATCCCCAGATTTCAAGCAAATCTGAAGGTTTGCCATAAATCCAAAGACCCAGGATGTTTCAAAATGTGGGAGTTTCTGTGTGGAAGTCAGAATCCAACACAGGCAGAGTATTGTCTTATAATTATGCACTTCCTGTCTCCCACAGACTCCAAGGGACTCAAGGAAAATGTTGGTTACATGAAACTAGTGAGTGATTTTTAAAGTTCCTAGAAACGGACCTAAGAGAAGACTATAAACCTTCATCTAAAATTAGTTTTAGTTTAGATAAATCATAGTGCCTGGCTTATATGTGAGATCAAAAAGTGTGTCAAGTCCCTTTTGTGTTATAATCATGAATTCATGTGTCTGTAGAGACAAGCAATACTTCAGCTGTATAATTATTGGGAAAATTCTGACCTAGATTGTCAACAATGGAAGTACAAGATGGTATCATAAAATGCAGGAGGTAAAAGCTGTAAAGTAAAGGAAAAGACATCGTTTTTGAAGTGGAGATTGTGGAGTCTAGTCTTTTTATCACGGTTATTCTTAAACCACTGTAGGTCTCGTGACATAATAGCATATTATAATTAACTATAATTAAATCATGAACTAGCCATTATAGTACTTACAGTTTTCACTTTTGGCTCTAACTGACGTAGATCACAGCCAGTTGAAATGAGTTGTACTCTGAATGTACTTCTACCCCAATGGGTGATCAGTCCAGAGGAGTAGACCAGGTAGGTCTCCTCACATTGCATGTAGTATAAACATCAGGCTGCGAACGCACTGCTGTTGGCCTGTAGCACTCTTTGGTTTTGGACACATAGAATTGGAAATTGCTTATCAAGCTGAGGTTTCTATTCATAATAACCAGTCATGGGGTATACTGCACCATACCCATGTCAGAATGCACCATATCCATGGGTTATGGAGAAGTGGCACCTTGTTATGAAGAACACTCTAGAGTAGCATAGGGTTTTGGGAAGTAACACAACACAATTAGAGCAAATCATGCTCCCATTAGATCTTGTATGAAAAGTTTTGCTTGCAGGTTTAATTGTGTTTCAGTGTGATATTACCCATCAAATCTGCCTGCTCAGGTAAGTGCTTACCTAACAGTCTCTGTCAGAAGACAAAAAAAAAAAAAAAAAGTAAAACCATCTGATAAAAATCTGATTTGCATTTTTTACTTCTAAATGGGTTTCTTTCTTATCATGCACCCAGACTGGTGTATTAATCCTATGAGGGAAAATGCATATTGCTTCTACCAATGGTTTGCAGCTGCAGCTTTTGCAGTGTGTGACTGCTACACCAAAGCATGCACTATCCAAACAGATAGTCACATCTGTGATTTAGTTTTGTGCATCTACACTTGACATGGTATAGAGCACACTGGAAAAAAAGAAACTGTATAAATATCTCTTCTTCCTCCCTGATTTTTTGCTTCTGTTTCCTTATACAAAGTTTTGAATCCTTAGTCTCTACTTAACTTCTTTGTAGCAAAGATGCCACAAGAAAAAACAATTCAGTTGAATTACAACAATTCCCCTGGAATTTAGTTCATAAAATGGACAATCTTATGTTTTTTCAAATAAAATCTAAGTGCACTGGCTACCTCTCTTCCCTTCCACATAAAAGTGAATATAAGAACAGGAGCAATCTCTGCATATAAAACCAAACATTTATTTGATAAGAGACTCATAAAGTTGCACACTAGTTAATTTGAAATCCTTTGAGGATCATTATATAGGAATGTTCCACTCAGCTGAATCAGAGCTCTGTTCTCCCTGCTTTCTGAAATGGCTCACATATGTGCACACTGCTAGATAGGAATTTTATGTATCAGAGGTCAAATTTACATGAAAACAAAATTGGAACATGTGGGACACATTCAATCGTGACAGCACCCTGCTTTCCATAGCATTAAAACAGAAGCATATAATGTCAGAATATAATAAAAATTTGATTTAAAAGCATGTCTCCCAACTGGGGGATGGGTTACAAGCATTCAAGAGCAATAGCCCAGCACTAGAAATAAAGCAAGCTTCATTCTCAGTAACTGGATAGCAGAAGGATTATTAAAACCCCTAGCGTAATCCCTAGTGCATGAACATTTGGGCTGTATCCAGTTGCAATATAAACAACTTTTCTTGCAGCTTGTGCCCTGTCTATTTGAACTAAGATGTGGAAAGTAAAGATGCAATGTCTTTTTTTTTTAATGTATTTTCTTCCAGATTTCATTGCATCCACTAGTTCACACTAAAGAGAGTATTGCAGTGTTGGTTGCATGTTTCAGCATCAAATACACATGATTCACAAATGAAGTGTGTATTTGGAAGCCAAGATTTTTTTTTCAGGTGACCCTTAGGTCATTTAATGAACTTTATTGAACAAATAGTACAGAATAGACATTAGAATCCCATACTTTATACTGTCTGACTCAGCTTTTTATTTCTTGTTTCAGTGGTGTTTTTCTAGTTTACCATTTTGCTGATGGTGACAAGCTTGTCTGCAAGCACAATACAGAAAATAAATTAGACCTCATCAAAGATCAGTACTAATCCTTCTTGAAACAAATTCTCTGAAGGACAGTTTAGTGTCACACCTTAGAGAAAACAATTGCTCCACTTCACAACTCATAAAGCAAACTGAAACCCTTTTTCTCTAAGCCAAGAAATACGGAAACTTTGAGGATTACTGTAAAGCCCTACAAAAGAGCTTTTCATTGAGACATCTGGTATTAACTAAGCATGTGAGGCTAAAATTCTATCCTTCACCTGCAACAACCCCAAGTAAGAATGTGTTACCCATGGGAGGAAGAGGCAGAAGCCTTCAAGTCACCCTTACACTCTTTCTGGTCAGGGGCTGGTCTAAGAGGCAGATTGTAGGTATACTGGACACTGGACCATAAGGAATCATTTACTTGTTTGGTAACCTCCCATTCAGCTTCCATCACAGCAGCTTACAGGCTGTTCCACAGACCACAGCAACCCAGAATCTCCTAAAAAAGCCCTTGTACTGCTAAGTCTTATCTCAATATCTACCTCTTAGGCCTTCCACCTCTGGCAGGTTTACAGGGAGGCTTGGGCAGGGAAAGCTTTGGTGCAATTTCTACTCATGAAGAGTTCTCCTACAGAGAGCTCAAGGTTGTGTTATGGTTTGAGGGAACATTGAGGACCAATAATTATTCCTTTGATAACTGATGGTACTAAGTAGGAAGACTACTACATAGACTCTCAGTACTTCTTAATAATGTGACAATCTCAAGGTAATGGCAAGAAAATGCATTGCAGGAGGAACTGAGAAACCAGGCATGTTTTAATGAGAAGCTGGGCAGGGATATCTACCATTCATCCCACTGCAGAGAGGGATGTTCTTAAAATTGTACTCTTGAAGTGTTTATAGCTAGAATTCGGTGGTGGGGGTGGAAAAGGCAAAAAGTTCAAGGGCATTGCTAATATCTTTTCTCTTCATATTAGCAAGGAAGGTCATTGGAAGAAAAAGAACACTATAAAAGAGAATAGTTCTCACTTTAATTCCGTTTTCCAAATCAGACTAGACAAAAACCAACTCTGCTCTCTGATCAAGTCTGAGGGAGAAATTTCCTCCCGACTGAAAGTGGCAATCCGTTTAACCCAATTGGTTTGACACATCAATCTAAAGCTAAGACCGTCCGTGTACTGTGCCTATGTCCTGACTCAAATTGGCCAGTCACCAGTGCTTTGGAAGAAAGAGGAATTGAATATGAATTCAGAAGCCAAATGTTGTATCAAGAAGGGAAGCATTATAATCTCAGTCTAAACCTTAGCCTTTGGATTCAGAGCTCCAACCTCTCCAAATCCATCAAACCTGAGAATAGTTTGGGTCATACTATATTTATATAAATAGGAGATATCATGAGCATAACATAGTGTATATGAAAAGCAAAAATTTGAGTGATCTCTTGCTGAAGACTGAGCCTTGGGCATTTCACTTAAAGGAGTCATTAAAATGACTGCACGCATTCCTCCTGGAAAGAAAAGGAAGTCAGTGAAAGATTCTGTAATTTGTTTCCTTCCTTTTCAATCAGTTTGGTATGTGGTTTCTTTTCACCTACCACAACTCTAGTGTGTGATGTGTGTGATTCATATTTGCACCTCTCTCCTAGTTAGAACGCTCCCTCTGCAGGCTCAGGTTTTCTGAGTGCAAAAATAAGTACAATGAAGAGTTTTTATAATGAAATTTATTATTTTGTCAATTCTTCTTGGTTCTGTTGCTAATACAGTTATTAGGTGATCAATAGCTTATCAGAACTCTTCATTCTTTTGCACTTGCCTGCACAGGCATAGTTTTAGGGACACTTGCTAAACTCGATTCAGAATTTTCTGCATCTATAACTTGCTCATTACAGATTTTTCTTTTCAAGCTGAGTTTTCTAGTGATTATGTGCTGAATGTGTGCTATTCCCTCATTTGTACAATCATGTACTGAGGAAAACAAAACTGCCTCTTATGTCCCTGTGCCTTCCCCCTACCAGGAATGTCCCCTGACCCCTATGTCCTTCATTGGACTTGTCTGCAGCATGCAGTGCCAGGCTCAGTGTTACCCTCATTCCTCCTGGCCAGCCAGCTGCTGCCTTCTGTCTGCCTGCTGGTTAAGGGGTGAGTCCTCTCTGGTTTTGTTTTTCCCCACTAAAAGCATCAATTGAATCTCTCTCCTTTACCCAGCCTCCAGTTATCACCAAAACTGTCAAAAATTGACATGCTGGAGGGCTCTAAATTTCTGATGAATTTGGCTGAAATCAATTGATGAGTTCAGATTACACTGGGAGAGAAAGAAGACCAACACAGACAAGCAGAAACGCTGGCGGAGTATCATTTAAGCTTCATTTCCTCAAGAAGTCAAGCTAAACATATAAGCATTAAGGCTTTGTAAAAAAATCAACAAAGGGATGTTCTTTCTGTTCTATATCAATGTTATTTAAATTCATTTAGTTTTCATAAACACGTTAGTCTGGCAGTTCTGGAAATTAAATGTCTCTAGTTTTAGAACAAGCACAGTATCCATAAAGGCCATGATCGCTGTTGTGTAATCTCCCTGTCCATCCTGGTAAGGCCCAGCAGATCGGATTGAAAAAATGGTGTTTCTAGATGAGTTTCCTTTTTTTTTCTTCTGTAGCAGATAAGATTGCAAGATAGTCTTAACTCTGTTGGTGACTTTGATCACATGGACCTTTGCTTGGGGAACAATGTTCTTCACCTAGAGCTTCAATAATGTGCGTGCCTGCATTTTGGGCTTTTTTTTGTATGTCTACCTGAAAAGCAACTGTTTGTATATAATAACTGTTGTTTTCAACTTTGTGCTTTGACTGACTGCTTCATAAGTGGACAAAAGATGTAACAGATAATAGGTGATAAATCACTAATATTTCTGTGACTATTTTCACGGAGACCATGGAATAAGAGGCTATCCTGGGGCCCTGGGGACAAGGAGAATTGGAGTGGTTGGTCCCAAGGTTGGTGTGGTGCGTTGCAGAAGCTTGCGTGCTCTTTTGTGATCTCTCAGACACCCAAATATTTTCGTCAATAATTGATTCATATTGGTGCAACTGCAGGAGAACTCAAGCATAAAAATACGGGCACTGACTGTACTTTTCTACCAACCAGATTAGGAAGGAGTATTAACTGGATGAAATTGCATTCACAGCTAAACTTTGTGAGATTACAGCTGGAAGCTGAACAGAACTGTCAGGCTGATGAATCAGTTAAATGATGCATTTTTCTGTCTGCATCTGTTCTTTTTCCAAGAGATTCTTTTGAGGTGGAAAATATGTTAAATGTGAATTTTATGTTTGCAGTTTTTGTTCGATGAAATTGAATCCAATTAATTTCATTAGTAAAACAGTTGAATACAAAAGAAGTTAATTCTTTATTCTAATACAAAAAGTTAGTTCTGTAAGGAGCCAGCATACAACATATGGGCAATTATTATCTCCATCCACTAAAGTGATTTATAATTCAAGAAAGACATAATGTGAAGAAAATATATTCAGTGCAAGCCTGGATTTCATTATAGATGTATCCATCTATTATTTTTACAAAGGCAATGAGAAACTGTGTCTATTTGTACACTTTAAGTTAAAAATAGATACGCCTTTATAAGTTTTGCTGTGATTTCCTTAGCAGAGATTAGCAGATATCTCCACTGCCATTTTGAATACACTACTATCTGAATGGAGAAACTATTACCAACCTGTTACAGAAACGCAGTGAGTGACAGAACATTACTATTTTCTCAGGATGTATGCTTGACTTTCCTTTCCTTCCTGAAAGCTGCAGCAATTTCAGTACCTTGGTAAATCATAGAGACACAGTCTGTTTAAACAAAATTTAGTTTAAACTGAGTGTCAAAATCCTACAGGTGTGTGACACTATGTGCCATTAAGCCGCTGAGAATGAAAAGTACTTTCTCTGTAGGGGAACAAGGATTAAGACTTGCTTGTAGCAGCTAGTTCCTAATATAAACTATTTAGTACATAAATAGCTAATAAGTATGTAGATTAACAGTATTTTTCACAAGATAGACTCTCAAAGTTTGTGGCAAATTTTTTGTCTATACATATGAGAATTATGACTTTTCAAATCTCACTAATATCTAAAAGTTAAATATCTAGAACTATGTATTTCTATTTAATGATAATCAAGTTTTGATATATTTTGCCTAAATAGTCAACATATGCAAAATTTAGGTAACTTACATACCACTGAATGAATTCCATTTACTGTATTATTGTATGGTGATTATTTATTGAAAGACTAATAAAAACCCTGAACTCTACATAAACTTTTATGAAGCTTCATCAAGCTTCAAAAGCTTTTTTCAACTAAAAATAAAGGAGAAAAAAAAACCACAAGAGAACAAACATTAAATTTTGAAATAATCAAAGGGATATGCTTCACTTTGGCACTTTGAAGTGTTAGATTAGCCCACCTCCAAAGCACAAGGGCTTTGCCTGGCTTTGACTGTATCCACAGAAATCAGTGGGTGCTTCTTTAGCTTTATCTCTTCCCTTCCCACTTAAAATTCTCTGAGTGACTGCTGCTCCCAGAGGCTGTGGCACAGAAGAACTAGCACACGAACTAGCTAACACACCTCGCGGATTTACTCACACTGGGTTTTACTGGTCTGGTCCTTTTGTACCTCCCTTATGTGGAGTGATAGCTTGAAGCTGCTGTATAAACATGGTTCCTGTTGGTTTCTACACAGGAAAAATTGGGGAAAATATCACACTGTGTCATGGGCAAATTTTATTCTTTAATAATTTTCAGCTTAATTGTTCTTTTGCTTTCCTGGGAATTTGCCAGGGCTCACAGTGAGAATCTATAAACCAAAGAGGAAACAGACCTGTTGGTTTTGACATGGCTTTACTTTTTGCTTGCAGTGACTTTGAGATGACTTCCTTAGTGTTACCTGGAAGAGTTTACCTCCTGATTCTTCTTTTTTTTTGGTCCACTATTACAGGGTATTATGGGACAGAAAGGCTTGCCTGGTCCACCTGGCCCTGCCGGTGCCAGCGTACAAGGAAGCAAGGTAACCCAGGTCAGTGTGATATCTGTGTAGTTTCTTCTCAAAACTGTCCTTAAGGAGATTCATTGCCTGTTTTTCTCTTGGCCACCGAGTCAGTGAACTCCTACAAATACTCATTGCCCATTTAAGTTTCCTGTTCATGGTATGTAATACTTGCTTTAACTGTTGAGTTCAGCATGGAATTACTTCATACAAGCTTTACCAAAAGAGCACCAATTCCTTCTGAATTTCTTTTGTTCAGTACTTGCTCTGATTCCAGCTTCAATGTCTTCTACTTTTATAGTCATGTTCTATCATTTCCCATTTTTTATTGCAGACAGCCTCTCCTTGTTTTACTGTGTTTCATGGCATAAAACTGTAATTTACTGTGTTCTTTCTTTTCTGCTTATCATATAACTCCCTTTAACAGATTCTAATTTATCTTGTCTCAGGACATTCCACAATTAAGAGTAATGACTGTCTAGACCTTTGGTTCTGACTTTTTTGTGGTTTTCCTCTGTATTAATTGTCACCAGTAACCATAAAGATGTTAAGTATTTTAATTTGAGGGCATAAGGAATGTCTTTTCTTCATTTGTTTGCTGAATCTCTGAAAGCTATTTGCTCTGTTCTTCTGGAAAACAGAAACATTTCTGCCATCTCTGTATGGCTTTATAGTGTAGGAAAACGATTACATGCCTGGCTTTACAGAGATTTTTGATGTGCTTCCAGAGTCTAATATATGGGATGTATCTTTGTTAAGTCTATGGATACGTGAGGTTATTTATAAAAGTGCAATTGCTATTTTGAATAGAAATGTTTCAACAATCAAGTGCAGAGAACTCAGTTTCATCATGGAAGTTTTCCAGTGGAAGAAGTCCACTGACACACATTGTGAGAGAAAAAGCATATTTGTAATATAAGGATGGAGAATTTAGGAATATAGGAAAGTAACATGCTTTTGCTATGGAAGGTCTTTTCTTTGGGTTTGAAACCAAAGCTGTAATGATAGGGTGACTCAAACTCAGCTGATGTTGTGTCTATTGCATTCCACAAGTTGTGTTAGTACAGTCCTGTCATTTAAATTTTCTTCCCTTTAACAATCACTTTTTTAAGTTATGATTATTTTCATATAATTCTTAGGAAGAACTTTCTGAACAACTTTGGCAACTGTCGTGCTCCTGTAATACCTGTTTCCTCCATACATTGATGCTTGTTGAGCTTCTATCTGACTCTTCTGCCTCCTACCTCTTCGCAGTTACTTCAAGCTTAATTCTTTTTGGCCACTTAATAGCTTAAAGTTATTATACTCTTGCATTTGAAAAATAAATATCACTCCAATTATTTTTTGATATACATACATAAAGCTCAGTCTGCATATGGTAAGAACGGAATGTCAAAAATTAGATGGTTCTCAAGTAACTTTATGTTGATAGCTACATTTGCAGGTCTTTTTTTTAATGCTCGGTTTCCTTTCAAAACCACAGTCTAGACATTCTTAGAACTGCACTTAGTTCATAGAATGACATTTTTACATGGAAGTCTGGTTATTGATCAGTAATGTATTAGGGTCAGGGATCCAAGGGTCTGCACTTTTACACGCGTATCACCTTGGGTTTTAAGACTGAAGGTCAAATTTGTACATAGATTGAACTGCGAAAGTTGCTCTAGTGTGCTTTGGTGAAGCTGTAGTCTTGATAAATTTGGAAACATTTTTGTATTTCTCTGCCCATTATGAGCAATATAGCTCCTTTAAACCAATTTGTGAGCAGCTATACAAGTACCAATAGAAGATGTTTTAGTAAGACAGTCTAAGAGGTCTTGACTGAAAAATACAACTAACTGACCTTGAACTTGCATCTCCTGAACTGGGATAGTTACAGATGAGGACTGCTCCTGGTCTCATTGACATTCTCTGGAACTGTTTTTTGTATTTGCACCAGGCACTGCTGTTATGTGAATCATTTATGTAATGTCAGTTATGATGAAGAATGTATGTAACAGGAAATACAATCACCTCTAGCACTGTTAAAAATGTATACAGCAGTTGATCTGGAAATAAAACAAAAACAAAAACCAAACTGTGTTACCCTATTAAATAAAGCAGGAAAATTTCTGGAAGCCAGATGCTGTGAAGGATTTTTTGTACATATTTTGTAGCTGCTGTGGTTTATAATATATTGTATGCACACGCTGCTAGCATGAACGTGCTTTTCAAGTCTGCATGCATGCAGCAAGACGTATTTAACAATAATTACAAAACAAATTTGAACTTTGGACCTGGACTGATACTGTCTTTTGACATATCAGCAGCAAGATGTTCTGCTCTCCACGTTGTGAAAAGCAGAGGTGTCTTTTTATTTGCTTAAGATAAAAAAAAAGTAAGTCAACCCTGCTGAGATTCTGTGTGTGTGTTTCTAGAGAACCTGTGTGTTGGACCACATTTTACAGCTTGTACACTGGATGAATAACTGTCTGAGCCTTAGTAAGGTTACTTTTGTCTTTCATCTATTTCAGTGAAGTGACTATTTCATTTAATTAATCAGGAATAATTCTTCATACTTTTTATAAAGGCTTCATGTGTGTTCTGAATCATATCAAACTGCATATTTATCCAGCTTCAGACCATTTCTGTCTTGAAAATTATGTGCTTCATTGTGTAATGTCTGACTTTCTCAATGATGCACAATGTTACAAAGTAAATAGATACAGCATAGGATTTACTTTAGTTTTCAGTTAAACTTACTTTCCATTTTCTGCTTAGGGAGAAAAAGGAAATCAAGGTTTTCTTGGAGAAAAGGGATCAATAGGAATTGGCCTTCCTGGACCAAAGGTAAATCCTATGTTTGCAGTAGAGAAATAAAAGGCTATTTTTTCTTCCTTTATTGGTTATTTGCTGTGACAGGTCTTTGAAGATAAATAGAAGGCAAAGACATTGCAAGGTAAGTGCCCACTACTTACTGTCAGCTTTCGAGTCTGTAAAAATCCTAATTGCCATTAAGGACCAGGCTCTGAAGCAGGATTTAAAATGAGATCATACCTGTTAGCAGGAGAATAATACTAGTCAAATTAGGTATTCAGTTATCTTAGGTATTTTTCAAGCATTACAAAATGTTCTTTTATTTGTCAGGCTTTGACAAAAGAAGATTTTTTTCTTTATTAATGTCTTTTAAGGGCTTTATTTTATTTGACTAATTTCTTTTTATAATGATTGAAGCCCAAGCTTGAATTTTTCCTTACTGAACAGCTTCCTGGTTGACATAACAATTGTAAGAATTTCCCATACACACCTATTCCCATCTATCAAATTTTACACAAAGAGAATTTAAATACTTTGTCTCTTTGTTAGTGATTTTCAGATGTGCAGCTTCTGATGGGAGCAGCCTAGCCAAAGGAAACCAAGGCTCATGCTCAGTGTGGATATGCAGACCAACTATGTGCATACAAAGGTGGGAACAATATGCCCAGGTAGAATGAGCATTGATGTAAATGCATGAAGCAGCACACCATCTTCAATTCACAGGAGCTGCCTGGGCCAGCTGGGCAGCTCCTCTGCAACAATTACAACATAGCTGAAATATTGACTATACTGTGAAAGCTCTGTCTGGAAAGCCTGAGGAAGAACAAACCCATGGCAGTCTTCATGGGCAAGCAGAAATGATCAGGCTCCCTAACTTTAAGAAGATACCCAACCAAGAGTTCAGTCCTCTCTGTAGTCACCTAAGATAGGCAGTACCCATTGAGAGCCCCACCCATTTACTGCCTGCACTAGCAATGTTCATGGTGCTATGGTCTACAATAAGTTTACACTATCTAGCACTTTCTCGGACTTCTGTATTATTCAAGCTACTATAGCTTGGAGCTTTGATGCAACAGCAAATATCAAGCTCATTCACACAGATTCAAATATCTGCCTTCTAATTCTGTTTTCTCTCAGATGCCAAATGGTACATACTGTAATAATAGTTGCAATATTTTCACTGTTCTTCTTATTCATCTCATATCTTGGCTAGTCTTTGTGACCCAATGTAAATCTCTCCAAATACTCAAACTCATCATACGTGAAAAGGAATGGTTTTATTCAGTAGGAATTTCATATAAGTGCCAAATACCAAAGATGTCAGTTTTTAGTATATTTCTGTGTAAGACGGCAGCAGTACCACTGCAGTCAGTAGATCATATTTGTCCTCCCTTATGCTGACTTTAAATTTGATGAGGTTAGATTCAATTAATGGACAGGTAATGGAAAGTAATATCCTTTGCTGGATTTTACAATTTTGTGAAATAGTACAGGAACCGTCTTCCCAGAGCTTACTTAGTGGAGAATGATTATCTTAATGCTGTGGAGAAGCTATGTACAACTTTCAGATTTAGACCAGTTTCAGTGACATTAGAATCAGACTGAGGGTGTCAAAAGTGTTCCTTAAAATTGATAGCAATCATGATGGCAAACACTGTAACAGGGAGTTATATATGTGATTCCATCAGCTGGGTATTAATGAGGAATAATATCAAAATGGACAGTAATCTAAATAACTTTCTAAACTTAAAGTTTCAAGTAAAATATAAGGTGATCAGTAACTTCCAGAGATAAGTAAAAAACTCGCCTGCACAATCTTCTTGAAGAAATGTCTGATTTACCACCTGAATCTTTTGATATTGTGTTTCATAACTGCATTATGTGAAAACTGTCTCTTGGAATACCATAACATTGAACCTTTTCTCATTTTGGAAATCAAAAGGTTTGGTCACTTGAGGGAAAAAGTGCAGAATTGCTTATAAATGTAAAACTGCATATTTTCCAATGGCTGTAACAGTCCAAGCATGCCCTTTCCCCTGTTCTTGCAAGTTCCCAGTTTTTCATGTGGGTTCTATACCCACAAAACCGGTGTGATTTCCAGTACCTTGGCTGATCTGAGGCAGTTATGTTTCTTCATAGGGCTCAATTAATATAGGTCCAGTGTAAAGATCATTTAGAGTTCAAGAAAATCAAAGAAGAGTAAATTATATATTCTAGACACTTGTGTAAAGATGTCTTTACCACTCAGTCCTCAATTAAGGTAATTTTTCATAACAGTTTTTAAAGGTGTTTTTACTGCCCATCTTGCTTTCTCTGAGAGCTTGCTTTCAGGTATTCTCTTCATAATGCATACAAGATAAATCAGCCACACACACAGACCAAAAAAAAAAAAAAAAAAAAAAAAAAGATCAGAAAATCTATGTTAAAAGAAAGCCAATTCTGACTATCAACAAAACCAGAGTTACTGAATGTGTTTAATACAGTTGTTTTAAATTAGGGAGACTATGGAGACAAAGGTGATCCAGGGAGCAAAGGTGCCAAAGGAGAGATTGGAGACACAGGACCTCCAGGACCAAAGGTAAAACACTTTTTTGTATTACTTAATTTTACATGGTAGAAGTTAGACAAATTTGGATTTTTTAATCATCTTACTCTACACATTTTCAGTTAATTTGGGGGAAGAAAAGGTGAACCAGGTCTTTCGGTGAGTATGTAAAAGAATTAATTTAAAGATAGGAGTTTATTTGGGGAAAATACTTAGAGGTTAGGTGACGTTATGCAAGGCTGCTTATGGGGCATTGCATTGCCTGCATTTTTGTAAATAAATACACAGAAACCAGCATTCTTAAAACTCAAACATACAGCAAATTAATTAATACTCCTTTTTTTTCTTTTTCCAGAGAGAAGAAGTTACCAGACTTATCAATGAAATATGTGGTAATGGTTCCAGTATGGGAAAAAAAAAAGTTCTAATCAAACACACTGGATTTATTCTGACTGAATGGATTTGTCCTCTGCATGTTTGTGTATAAGGATACCACTGATGTGAAAATGATGCTCAGTATGTTGCCAGAGCTGTACTGCTAGTAATTTGATCAAGCTCTGTTTCTGTTTATCAGTATCTATAACTATAAATTAATTAATTAATTTAGCTTCAAGTGTAAATCTGATATATGAGTTCAGTTAATTGTGATGATGGTGGCTGCTTATGAAATGTCTGCAATTGTTTTTTTCTAGGTTGTGGAATCAGGTGTAGATTGGAACTAGTATTTGTTACTGACGGTTCTGAAAGTGTTGGACCAGAAAACTTCATTATTATAAATACTTTCATGAAAACAGTCATTGACAAGGTATCATCCAACCATGTTACAACCCGCATCGGCATCATCAACTTCAGCCATAAAGTGGAGCTGGTGTTTTCTCTGAAGCAATACACATCCAAGGAATCCCTGAAATTAGCTGTTGATAACATGCCCTACTTCAGAGAAGGCAAGTACACAGCTTCTCTATCCGAGAAACCATATGGTTATTTCAGGCAGCATGCCCAGCAGTAAGGAAAGTAGCTGTTGTCATAACAGATGGGCAAGTGGAGAGTCGTGAAGATGTACAACTAGACACTGTAGTAAGAAAGGAACATGTTGCAAATATTGAGATATTTGTCACTGGGATCGTTCAAAGGACTAAATCTTATTATGACAAGTTTTGGAAAGGAATGCAGCTCATTGATGAACATGTTTACCGGATAGATGACTTCATGACACTTTCAGGTAAAAGAAACCTTTTTACTAAGAAGAAACTTGAAATAAGCATCTAAGAGAGTTAGATCATTCTTATAGCAAGGCAAGGTGGCCTGCTGAATGGCAGCTTATGTTTCTCCTTTGGATACAGCTCTTTCTTCTGTTTCTCATCTCTGGCCAAATGAAACATTTGCCAAATTTTTTACCTCTTGCAGAAACAGTAAAACACAGTGAACACCATTTTTCTGAGCCAAGACCTTCTTTGGGGCACTCCTATTTCACAAGAGTACGCATCAGCCTTTCCTTGCTGTCCTTTGTTATCAGCCATGGTTTCATCCCGGAGAGGTGCATATTTCTTCCACCCTCATTCAACATCTTTGTATCTTTCTTTATTTCATATGGCTCTTGTCAGCCTTGGAGTCCCTCCATCATCTCCTACAAGCACTGTTTTGGTGTCTTGGGTTTTTTTTCTGAAAGCCATAGGGGAACCTACACTTTCATCCTGATTCTAAGAGAAAAGTGGTGGAGCAACACACAAGGAAATGGGGTCTGATAGTACATTGTATACATCAAACTGCGGCTTGAAAAAATACTGTGGCCACATCTGGAATCAGGAGAAAATCCGACGGAAACCTATAATGGCCCATGACATAAAAAAACAAAGGACATCAATCTAGACTAACCACAGACTAGTCTTATAGCCCTATAAAGTATATTTTTTCTAAGTATAAACTTATTTTGCTATGCTTAGTTTGTGGATGGAGTTAAGGCATTAACAGTGAGAAGAGAGTCCAAGCTAAAGTTCTGGTCCAAGCTGAAATTAAAGAGGGCTCTGACTCAGGCTCAAGCACTCAACACAAAAATAACTCCAGTCACTGATATTTTTTTGTGCAAGTAGCATGTGTCGCCCAGTTTTTCTTTTTCCATCTTACATGTAAACATTTGCTTTCCTTCAGTCTTTTGTTTCTCCTTTGCTGTTGAGCCATGACTTCTGCTTTAGGAAAGGGACATAGTATTTTTATCTGTTTCTTCTTAAAAGAACAAAAGGAACTTAAAGTGAAGTACTTCCAAGAGTGCATTAGGTTGTTCCTTCCCATTTGCACTTTGATGGTCTTTCACAAGACACTGTCATTAAAAATTTAGGGTTAAAAGTTTGTGGTGAATTATTATGACTTTTCTTGATTACCCTTACTAAGTTTCATCATTTTGTTAATCTTTTCAGCTCTTGAAAATAAACTGATCACAAAAATATGTGAGAATATGTCTGAATTCTACACCAGAAAAGACAATGGTTTATCTCCAGCTCCAAGTCCAGAATCTGAAATTGCTAGTAAAGATAATAATAACCAGTTACCTACAAGTACTACATCAGGGACTTATGTGCTCCCTAAGGAAGGAATCAGTTACCCAGTAAATAAAGAAGCAACAGTTATAAAATCTTTTTAAAAGATGTATCTCTTTATTTGAATTCAAATACTCTTTATTTCACTATTCGCCATTCTTTTAACATGCAAATATGTCAGACCAAAAGATTGCCTCAAGACTTTTAAAGTTTGAGTGAGCTTATATGGTGAGAACAGAAGCTGACAGGATGAAGAAGATAATATTGCTTCTTAGTTGCAATAAATGCCAACAGTCCTCATATTTTTTGTAGTTCTTATTCACCTTAGAAGTGAGTTACAAATCTTAAAGATCCGTCTCTATAGAGGCAGATACATAGTGTGTAAGGCATTTATTTGTGTGCAAGCTGATTGTTAGTATGAAGCATTCAGGATTCTTTTGCTTTCCACATTGGGCTGTACTCCTAGGACTCCTCATGTATGTTACTCTTTGTTCTCCAGCTTTAAATGCCTCCTGCCCTGCACTGGGGTTCTGCCCTCCAACACAGTGCTGCTGCACAGATATAGAGGAAAGGTTGAGTTTTAATGCAATAGATAAATACTTTCTGCAGTTGTATGTCATCTTTGTTCCCTTATTAAATCCTTGGTATTTTTCAGTCACTGTGTTAGTATCAGAGTAGGACATCTGTCACCTTTATCATATATCAGCACTAATTCTCTAGGGTGTTCTTACTGTTTTGCCTAAAAATAGCCAATGGTCCGAACCTACCTGCTGTTAATGGTATTTTTTCACTGATTATTTAGCAAAAGCTTCCAACATAATTCTCTCAACTCTTTAATTTAGCATCTGAGCCCAGACAGAGTTTGATGATTTTGACTCTTTTTGCAGCTTAGACCACCACAGACCAGATACACTGAGCCACTGCCAACTGCTCAGGATCACACTGTGACCATCTCTGCCCACAGAGAATCAAGATTTCCCTCGCTTTATGACATACATGAAAACAGACCTCAGAGTTCAGCTGTTAATCCTTTGTTCAATGCAACTGCTGCTGAAGATCACCACCTAATTGTGCTGCAAACACAGGTAGGAACAACCCAAAAAGGTAATAAATACTGTAGCAAATCTGCACCAAAAAAAAAAGAATATGGGGAGCACCTCAATCTCTCCCCAAGTATAGTTACTAGAATTTATCACCTTTTGTTTTCTGGGTGCTGCCTACAGACATCACACACAGTGAGAGCCAGATTTTCAAACCTTTATGACAGACAACCCTTGCATACCAATTATATGCCTACAGATTTAAATAGCAGCATCCTTACATCAGGATTTAGGCAGTCTCATTTCAAACTGATCCTGTATTTTTTCAGGCCTGTTCAGGTAACTCAGAAATGGAATTTAGCTACAAATTTAAGAGAGGCACATATACTCCCAGGCACTACAGGGAAGGAAAAAAAGGGGTGCTCTTCTTACTGAAGAAGGCACTTCTTGGATAATATAACTCCTCTCCAGAATCCAAGCTAACTTTTATCAAAACACTTTCAGATCCAAGGTGCTTGGTACCTATGAAACCAGGGGATTGTCAGGACTACATGGTGAAATGGTGTTACAAGAAGAATGGCAATTCTTGTGGCCAGTTCTGTTACAGAGGTTGTAATGGTTCCAGCAATAGATTTGAAACAGAAAGAGAATGTCAAGCAACCTGCTTTGATTGATGCACAGGTAAATTGTCTCCATCAAGTTATCCTTCAATCATCTCATTTTCAGGCTAAAAAGATTTAGTCTATTTAAATGTATCTCATACTATACGTACATATCATAGAATCATAGAATACCAGGATCAAGGATCATCTGTTACAACCTTTCTAGGCAAAACGGGTATGATCTTTTATACCTTTGATCACTTTTGATATGCTTGTCTGAAGCTTTTAATGATTCTGAAGTGCACTTATTAGTCATGAATTTATGCAGGGGTGCAGTGAGGTTTTCTACTTTGTTCTCTGTTCCTTATCTTACAGTTTCTAACACCGTGTTTGATTTTTTTGACCATTACTGAGATTGGAGGCAAAATTTTCATACAGTGCAATCCCAAGTCTTCATCTATATATAGGATGAGCTGAGAACACATATTATATGTGAATTTATGATAATTTTTCCCATTGTGTATTATTTCACATTTATCTAAACTCAGTTTTCCTTTTCAATTCTCAGCCTATGCAGTCAACATCACAAGGTCCTTCTGCAAGTCCTTGCCATCACCCCTTTTAATAGTTAGTAGTAATATGGTATTATCACTGACTTTGTCACCTTACTTCTTACTCCCTTCTCTACACATACAACTGTATCAACCAGGACAGACCATAATATACATCCTCCAGTGACTTCTCTCCACTGATCATTTATCCCCTTTCCTTTGTTTTACTCTTTTCATCACTTAAAAAAGAGAAGGCTGTCTGTCTCAAACCGGTGTCACTTCTCTTTGGGGAGGGACCTTACATTTTGGAAATCCAAGCAGACTATACTAACTGCCTTAGGTCCACATGCTTAGTGAGGTGTGGACTTCAAAGAGGTTGCTTATCAATCAATCAGTAGTGCATAACTTCCTTTACAAAAGCCATCATATATCTCATCCTCACTAAACTGTATTAAGTACTCTATTTCATCTCTCAGTATAGGAAAATTCCATTGAACTGCAGCATGAGTTTTTCTAAACATTTCAGGAAAATTAATCAATTCCATATTTCTACTAGAAATTACTTCTGGTCAGATCTTTTAAAGTTGGAAGTTCACATGTATTGAGGAAGAACTGAGAGAGAAGAATCCAGAATGATGTGTTAACATGAATATATTACTATCACTCTCCACTGCTTTCCCTCTATGGTATTCACATTAACTACAGTCATGTATAACATATGTTATCTGCAACACCATAGCATAACTTACAATCACACATACACATACCTTTTCCTCCAAATTTCTATTAACTTGTTACTACTATATATGGCAGTGATGAGATTTTATTTTTAGGATTAAAATGTGAAAACTGTTTACACTAGCATTTAATGCCAGAGGTCTCTTAGTCTTGTGGAAGAATAAAATATGTTCTAGTTTTAAACAAGATGAAGTGGTTTCTGAAATTAACACTCTTAACACAGCATATAGAGTCATAAATGGACCTTTCTATTCATTAAAGTACCTCTTTGGTATGTAAATACCATAGCTATAGGTAATTAGAGGGTTTTTTCCCCCCATTAAAAGACATTTGGATTAAATTATAAATTAATTGGATTAAAATACAATCGTTTTAATTATAAAGGTGGGACTTTCATCCAGAACTGATTAAATCCGGGATTCTTCATGCCCTTTAGGCTAGTCAGTACATTTCCATTTCTCAGGGCCTCTGTGTTTAAAAAAATAACAACAAAAATATTTCACTCTAATATACGCTATTAAATTAAAAAGCACTGAAAGATGTATAGAAATGTTTACTGATATTCTTTCTACTTTTAGCCATAATCCTGTATGAACATATTGTTAAAACTGAAAATGATGAGCATGTGATTAAAACAGAAAGTGACACTTTCATGTGTCAGAGTCACGCACTGTTATTTCTTTGCAAAAAAAAACAGTGGTATCTACATGGGAAGCATGGACAATTCTTCATCTGTTTTAATGATTCCTTGCGTAATTTCCTCCTCCCTGGCTTCCCCCTGCAACCAAACGACAGCATGTACCATGCAAAATGAACTTGTTTGCAGTGGATAGGATGCAAACCTAATTCTATGGAAGGCAGTGCTTGAAGTACTGTTTAAAAGTTTCAAATTGCCTTGTTAGGGAGTTTCAACCTAGCAAAGAGAAAACTGACAGCACTTTACACAGAAGTTTAGGGAAAAAGAAGAGTAAGAGGGATAGACACGATGCTTTCAAATTGGCTGGAAACAGCAGATTCAAAACTTAAACCATACTGAAATATAATGTCAACACCCTGACAAACTTGAAAGACATATTGAGAGACTTCTTTTCTAGGCAAGGTCTGAAATCCAGTTTAGAATTCATTTTGGTCAGATAACAAAGGCAATATGAGAAATATTAAAACAAAGAGGCAGTGCAAATATTCTTAAGAAAAAGATTAGCACAAAATATCACCCTCAAAAGAAGAAAAAAACCACCTGAAGGAAAAAAAAAGTCCCCAGCATCCCCTATGCTAAAGGGCCTTCACCCCACAGCAGCCTAGAGTCAGTAGCAGAAAGTGGGACATCCTCACCAGCAGGAGTGATTTATTGCACTGATAGGCAAGCACGTTACTGAAGTTGGAGCTATTGATAGAGACAGATAACAAGAGAGACAGACACGGGTAGATGGATACAGGGACAGAGAGACATGTACAGATGAAGGTTGAAAGATCTTTTAATCCAGAAAAGATGAAAAATTTACACAGTTAAATGCTACTGTAAAGTATCCTATGGATGGCTGTGAAAAACCTCCAAGTGTAACTGGTTCCAAATCCACTTCATTTCACACCTACCAGGAATATTCAGGTTTAGCTACTCCTGGAAACCCAGTTGGCAGCAAAGACTACTGGACCTGCAAGTGTAGGAATTTGCAGGATGTTTCAAACCTGTTCTCATCTTCTATGCCTAGGCAGTTGCTTCAAGGGTGGGACTGGCTTGTGTTCAGCTCCATATCTCCAGACCAAGAGATACATCTTGTCTAGGAAAGATGGGGGATAATGAGTCTGGGAATAAATGAAAAGATGCAAGTTACAGGTTTGCAATTATGTCTTCTATAAACCTTCCTGGTAAAGTTGACAGTTTTGGTAAGTACAAATACTGATACCATTTGCTACTTAACAATGCTAGAAAAAAAAAACAGCAGTTACTCTAAAAATGTTAAAACATCTTATGCATGTTAAAACATGCATATGAGGAATCTTCTTAATGCAATTAAACCAGGGTGATGATCCAGAAGGTCGCTGCTTTTTTTTTTTTGACTTTTATGTAGGGTTGACTAAAGCTTTTGTAGCAAAGAACTTAAAATGCAGGCTATAAAGGTTTTTAAAAAGTTGTATGATGTTCAAATCAGATTATCGTGAAATAAGCATCCTTTTCTATTCAGGTCTTTCAGTGAATCCTTAGACAGAGAACTCTGAATGTGTGCTCTGCTATATAATAAACCATTAAAACAGCACATAAATTCCTGATGAAAGGACAACTCTTCTCTAAATCTGTACCAGCACTGACTGGCAGCACTGGCTCCGGCGTCTCCTCAAACAGCACTGCATCCTACAGGGTGTCATGGGTCAGTACGCCAGGAGAGGGCACCTCTTGCCGATGTCTACGGCTTTGTTCTGGAGTTGTATAAAATCATAAATCATTAGTAACTGAAAGCTTTACAGTTTCTACAGGCAAAAACAAACAAACAAACAAACCCATTATTTCCATCACAGGCACATTTTAGAAGCAAGAATAATCACGAAATCCTGTCGACGCGGGAGTCGTGGACAACGCAGAGATGATCAATGTGATCAAGCAATTGCCGTTTACTGAGCATCAGACATGATCTTTTATACACAAATCCATACATTGATTATACGCCGATTGGTTAACATGCCTTGCCAAGAAGCTTCTGATTGAGCTTTACACAAAGTTGCTTAATACAAGTTACAACAGCCATCACAGGCACATTTTAGAAGCAAGAATAATCATGAAATCCTGTCGACGCGGGAGTCGTGGACAACGCAGAGATGATCAATGTGATCAAGAAATTGCCGTTTATTGAGCATCAGACATGATCTTTTATACACAAATCCACACGTTGATTATACGCCGATTGGTTAACATGCCTTGCCAAGAAGCTTCTGATTGGGCTTTACACAAAGTTGCTTAATACAAGTTACAACAGCTACTTATGTTTAGCACTAGCCTCAACATTCTTATACTGTGGTTTTACATCCTGGTTTTTGTTCTTAACGTCGCTAACGTTGCGATTTCATTTCCCCCACTGCTATCCCTGGCTAACCTCCCCTCTGGCCTAGTATTTTTCCACTTACAGAGAAGCTCTACTTATGCTAACTGAGAAGCCCGACTCATGCTAACTAAATCCATACAACAAAATCCTTAAGCCCTCTGCTAGACCAGGCCAAATGCTATAAACCGTAAGAGCTAAAAATGGTTGAGAATTACATCTTCTGGCACAGTTGACCCTGGGACACAAAGAAAACCCTTTCTTATTGCAAAATAACAGTGGATGAGAGTTCTGAAAAGAAGAAATCTGACAGCCACAAGGCTCAACAAGTGAGTAAATCCCCAAAAAGAGTTTTGGATTAGCTTTGAAATTGTTGCAAACACAGATAATCCTGGTACTGCTGGAAGTGTTTGGACTGATGCTACTCTCTCAGCAGCTTAAAGCTTTCAGGACACTTAAAAACCCCAAATAAATGACCAACAACTCAAACAAGCCCTCAGGCCCAGGATGTGCCCAGTACATTCCTTTCAGTGGTGGGGCTGGGGAAGAAGGGCTGCAGGGGACAGACAGCACATGGAAAGCATTGCCTGGGAGAAGGATTTGGGGGATTTTGTGGTCTGGTTGCTGGCTGCTGGCCCAGGGGTGCCCCAGGCTCACTGTGCACACAGACATGGGTGTGGGGAGCTGGGCAGTGGAAGGAGCCTGGGGACAGTTAGCGATTTTTCCATAGAAAGCTAAGAGCTAGTAATTCTTCTGAATTACCAGTATGACATAATTGGCAATTTCAGCTATGTCTGATTTCATTCAGGGCAACTCCCTAATGTGCTGTGTTTTCTCAGAGGATAGCTTCTATCAGTCTTAAACTGCATTGTCAATTAATAGGTAAAATATATTCCTGCTGACCAGAAAAGCTGTACTTTCCAATTAATTCAAGTGTAGTGAGATTCACATATAAAATCCAGGTCTGAACCTTAGTATTTTCACTGCAATGACCCTCAGAAAGCTATGACTGGGTCTCCATCAGGCT